TCTGTCTTAGATTATTCGCCAATGACTGACCGCACGCGCCCTAGAGTTTTCTGTTTTCTCCGGCTGATTACGCCTGATTAGCAACGGCCCTTCAACAGGAGCAAAGATTGATAATCTCCTAGTGGTGGTCGAGATAAACCGAAGCCGAAACCGTCCTGACGACTACCGAAGATTCTTAAAGTATTTCAAATTACCTGCAATTGGTGCAAGACTTCCTTATTTATTCCACAAATCTCATCAACAAGGCATTTATATACTTTGATCATCTGCATTTGCACCCCATTTTGTATATAGCACAAACATTTGAGCTCATTGCAATACTGTCGCTAATGTGCGACACCCAAGTCAGCTTACTGTCCATTGTCATGCTCAGAAACCTAATGAAATCCACACAGGGAGTAGGAGAGGGGTCGTGATGTGGTGCCTACATAGCTGGAGGCATTTTGTTTTGGTGACTGATTAAAAATGGGTTGCATTTTTCTTGAGATTTCAAATATACACAAGTCATCAACATACTGGCAACACTTTCCGTCTGTGCCTACGCTATTAACGAGGCTACGTTAAATTAGAGCACAGCTTGTGGTTTATCTTCCACTAAATTACTAATTACGAAAAAGGAGTTTGGAAGTGGATTTTAAATCGCAAAAATAATCGTATCGCCGGGTTAGTAACCTCATTTCGAAGCGAATTGTGTAGTAAACAAAACCCGTGTTAAGCGGTAGACATTAAATTGCATTTAAGCATTTTGGGGAAGCGGAACAGAAATATTGCAGTGGCAGTTTCACTTTTTATTGGTCTGCATAAACAATAGCCCGATTCGCGTTTTCGGAAACCTGTCGCGAGTTTGAATGTGTCCAAGGTAAATGCGAGTTTCATTATTTTAGTAAATTTCTATTCCACCGAAGCCGAAACCGTCCTGCCGACTACCGAAGATTCAAAGTATTTCAAATTACCTGCAATTGGTGCAAGACTTCCTTATTTATTCCAAAAGCGATCCTGTTTTCAATTTCAAGCTACAAAGTCAAAAATACCATCAATGAAATTAACGAGGCTAATTACTTAGATGAACAGATGTATATTGCTTCATAATTATAATTACCAAAAAGGAACTTGGAATTTTTCTTTAGTCTTCTGATACTTGATCACGAGATGGGGGCTGTATTTTAGAGTAGTCAGCAGTAGTGAATTTTTATTATTCAGATCAATATTTTCAATTAAGGAAAATGCAAAGGCGATGGGAGCGGGTCAGTCAAGTGAAATCAAGCCAAGTTTTGATTTTAAGGATAAATTGGCCCCACTTCCGCAATTGACAATTTACTGGTTGCATCAAAAGTGTTTATTTGCTATTTTAATGGCCATTTCGATTACCCTAATTTCCGTGTAGCGTAGAATCTGAAGTCTGATTAAGATCAATTGTTTCAGAAGTTGAAAAATGAAGATAGACTACGAAGATATAATGAACTACACCAGCGTAAATAGCGAGACAGAACCTACAACCGGACTCGAAGACTCATGGATGGATCGCATCGCACTAGACCACCTAATACTATTTGCATTATCTACTGCAGCCTTCTTCGCCGACCTGGCAATTATCTTGACCATGTTGTGTTTTAAGCAGATGCGAACCGCGCCAAATATGTTTATTGTTAGCTGGGCAATTTTGGATATTTATGCCGTGCTGACACCTGTCGGTTACAGATTAGTATCAATATTGAGTGACACGAACGCATGCTTTCTATTACAAATGAGTTTTATATTACGTTTTCTGATAATTGCGTCCGTTTTCATAATTTTTGGATCTTGGTGTATTATGGCCTACTTTTCGAAATTTTCAAAATGGATTGGAGTTTACTACAAGGTCATGATGGCAATAATTTGGGGAATTCTCTTAATTTTCCTTATAATTCTAAGTACAGGTTGTCTAGATCCCGAATTCGATGAGAACGCCGAAAAGGGATGCTCTGTAATGCTAGCGCCATTGTTAATTTTTATTATCACTGTACACTTTGTCAATGTTTTGAAAAAGCGCAGAGGGCAGTCACTCGAGCACTCACAATTGTCCTTAACTTTGTGCACCGCATTTATGGTTTGCAATGCTTTAGGAGTAGCTACTTCCATAACAATGCCATTATTGGGCCTAGAAAATCCTCCATTTAACATGATTCCGGCGAGTTTCGTCTTCTGCAATTCCGTTGTAACTTTCAGTGTGTTATTTTACTATGATAAACCCTTTCAGTTGCATGCTCGAAAAATCCTTCAACGTAAATGTCGAGAAATTGAACGCTCACACGTGGAGGGCGAACGTATAGAGCGAGGACAGTCTCCTGAAGTTTCATTTCATTGCCCAACTGAAGAATTGCGAACAAATAAGTAAACTGTGTTGTGGATGATCGAATTAAAAGTTTTTACAAATTATATTTCACATTTTACAGTTTAATGATAGTAGGTTAATGAAGTAAAGGATACTAATGTAACATTGGAAGTTTGCGAGATAATTGTAACTACTAATCTATTAGGTTAGAGAATAATAATTGTATCAACATTAATCTTTTATGTGGACAAAAAAATAATAACCAGTTGGTTGTTACAACATTGAGGGCATTATCGCCTCAAAAAATTGAATTTTAAGTATTTGCTTCATTGAATTAACCCGTTGTCCTTATCTACATGACATTTCTTTTCTAGTATAAAACTTGGCAATTTTTTCAGTGTGTTATTTTACTATGATAAACCCTTTCAGTTGCATGCTCGAAAAATCCTTCAACGTAAATGTCGAGAAATTGAACGCTCACACGTGGAGGGCGAACGTATAGAGCGAGGACAGTCTCCTGAAGTTTCATTTCATTGCCCAACTGAAGAATTGCGAACAAATAAGTAAACTGTGTTGTGGATGATCGAATTAAAAGTTTTTACAAATTATATTTCACATTTTACAGTTTAATGATAGTAGGTTAATGAAGTAAAGGATACTAATGTAACATTGGAAGTTTGCGAGATAATTGTAACTACTAATCTATTAGGTTAGAGAATAATAATTGTATCAACATTAATCTTTTATGTGGACAAAAAAATAAAATTGGTAACAAGTAATTGTAATTTTTAGACCCTTCTAGGTTTTTGTATAACATCACGAACATAAAATGTAGGTACTGTTAATTTATTCTTATTTGGTAATATTTCTGAACGATTTTCGAAAGTCAAGCTCAAATCAAATAGGGGAAATTGGCTGTCAAGTCAAACCCAGTATTTAACTTAAAATGCGATTATCTAAAACAACTTGGATATAGATCTCAATTGGCACTAATCAGAAAGGGTAAATGGTAAAATAATAAAGCAGTGGTATAGATAAATAACCAAATAAAGAAGCTTTCTTGTGATTTATCATTTAAAAAATCTGTTTTTGAAGTTCATATTTATCTGGACCACAAAATAAATATTTCAGAAACCTCGATTCCCTTAAAAAGGCTAGGGCTCGAGCTAAATGTACATTAGGCACAAATGAGTTTGCTGATGATATTTAAGGGATGATATAATCAGAAGACTAAAGTAAAATAAACACAAATTCGCTCAGCTGCAGTTTTTTTTATTTCGCTTGAATTCCAAAGATCATTTGTAGTTGAAATTGAAAAATGTCCTTTAGTTTTAGTCTTTACGGCCAATTACCAAAGCTACAAATAAAAGCAATGAGGTTCAAACACAAAGAATCAGGGCTGTAACTTTTGATCTAGTAGCCCAATCTTGGAACTGTTGAAATTATGGAATCTACAGGCCATATTCTATAAGAAAATGTTTTTTCCGGTCGATCTGAGACAATTTTCTTATTAATTTTGGTGCGTAGAATTCAAATCGAATCATACTTTTTCGATTAGACTTCTCAATCAAAGGTTATGGACTAAAAACCAATCGAAAGATAATTCAAAAAAAGGGCTGTAACTTTTGATCTAGTAGCCCAATCTTGGAACTGTTTGAAATTATGGAATCTACAGGCCATATTCTATAAGAAAATGTTTTTTCCGGTCGATCTGAGACAATTTTTTTTGGAGCCTCAAAAAAAGGCAGTGTATAACCTTCCTTTTTTACCAAAAATCGACTACACCAAAATTTCTCGGGAAAACACTTTTTCTTATTAATGTTGGTGCGTTGAAATTGAAAAATGTCCTTTAGTTTTAGTCTTTACGGCCAATTACCAAAGCTACAAATAAAAGCAATGAGGTTCAAACAGAAAATTCAGGGCTGTAACTTTTGATCTAGTAGCCCAATCTTGGAACTGTATGAAATTATGGAATCTACAGGCCATATTCTATAAGAAAATGTTTTTTTCCGGTCGATCTGAGACAATTTTTTTTTGGGCCTCAAAAAAAGGCAGTGTAATACCTTCCTTTTTTACCCAAAATCGACTACACCAAAATTTCTCGGGAAAACACTTTTTCTTATTAATTTTGCGTAGAATTCAAATCGAATCATACTTTTTCGATTAGACTTCTCAATCAAAGGTTATGGACTAAAAACCAATTTCGAAAGAAAATTCAAAAGGCTGTAACTTTTGATCTAGTAACCCAATCTTGGAACTGTTGAAGTTTGGGATTATGTTCAATTTACCCTCTACTTCAAAATCTATATTATGCCGATGGGCGTTCTACATTTTTTAGGGGTGAAAACTACCCCTCTTTCCAAAACCCATAAAACTACATATTAAAGCTTAATGTGAGTAAAATTTGGTTCAGATGAGTTGAGTAATGATTGTTAGATGCTTTGGAACATTATTTCAGAATATTTCAACCCTTAAAAATCAACCCTTATTGTGGTTTAATAAAAAAAAGTATTTACCCTCAAAAAAATAATCTATTATTGACGACAGTTGTTCAGTCGCATCTAAATATGGCAATTCGGGACACATGCACTTACAAGGAAAAATAAAATTGGTAACAAGTAATTGGATACTGGGCTGCGTTTGCAGATGAGCTTTAAATTAATAATTTCATCACAAGCTTAATTCATAACAGGCACCATATGCGTCATCCACACATATGTTCGCTGTTTTCATTACCAAATTGAAAGTGAAAGTGATCGCTGAGAGCTTTCCCGTGTAAAAAAAAGAGGTAGGTTCCGAAATAAATTTATAAAAATTAATCAGCATGCTTTCCCTAACATTTTTATTCGCCAATGAAAGACTTCATTCGGGGCATTCGGCATGAGCTCTGGAATCTTTGTATTTGCTTTGTTTATTAGGCCTCGTAGGTTGAGAATAGTTGGAGCATTAATAACGTAATTGTATTCGTTTGTAGGCGGAATTGATAATTGAATTTTGAGACCCTTCTAGGTTTTTGTATAACATCACGAACATAAAATGTAAGTACTGTTAATTTATTCTTATTTGGTAATATTTCTGAACGATTTTCGAAAGTCAAGCTCAAATCAAATAGGGGAAATTGGCTGTCAAGTCAACTTAAAATGCGATTGTCTAAAGCAACTTGGGTATAGATCTCAATTGGCACTAATCAGAAAGGGTAAATGGTAAAATAATAAAGCAGTAGTATAGATAAATAACCAAATAAAGAAGCTCTCTTGTAATTTATCATTAAAAAAATCTTAAAAACTAATACATTAAAACTTATGACTTCTCCTTTTCACTTTTGGAGGAAGTTGTTTTTGAAGTTCATAATCATCTGGACCACAAAATAAATATTTCAGAAACCTTGATTCCCTTAAAAAGGCTAGGGCTCGAGCTAGCAAATGTACATTAGGCACAAATGAGTTTGCTGATGATATTTAAGGGATGATATAATCAGAAGACTAAAGTAAAATATACCCAATTCGCTCAATTGCTGTTTTTTTTTTATTTCGATTGAATTCCAAAGATCATTTGTAGTGGAAATTGAAAAATGTCCTTTAGTTATAGTCTTTGCGACCAATTAATTGGGATTAAATGACTGTTAGGATTGCTTTTAGGTTTGGATGAACCATTACTAATTGGTACTGTTTGTTCCAGGCGCTAGTTGAATCAATAGACTACGAAGAGATACTGAACTTCACCAGTGCAGAAAGCATGACCGAAGCTACGAATAAAAACAGTGAGGTTCAAACACAAAGAATCATTCTATTTGTTTGCCTTACATTTGGTTTCTTGGCCGACCTGGCAATTGTCTGCACGATGTTGTGGTTCAAGAAAATGCGAACCCCACTAAATATCTTAATTGCGAACTGGGCAATTTTGGATCTTTGTGGAATACTAATGGCGCCTACCGGTTACACATTAGCGTCAATTCTGGATCACCTCACCATACCCTCGCGATTATCGTGTTTCCTACTCCAAATGGGATTAGTAATACATTTTATGACTATTATGTCCGTTTTTATCATTCTTGTTACTTGGTATCTTTTCGTATATTTTTCAAAATTTAAGAAATATGTAGGGATTTACTTCAAGTTCGTGTTAGTCATGATTTGGGGAACTGTGTTAATTTTACTAATCATTTTAATCACTCATCAGTGCTTTAATCATGACTTCGAATCGGAAATTATGAGAGGGCAATACGTAACGGTAGCTTTTTTATTAGTTTCCATTATCATTGCTCGTTTTATTAACGTTTTGAGGAAAACCGATGGACAGCCTGTCGAATGTTCACAGTTGCCATTAAGTTTGTGTACCGCATTTATTATTTGTTACACATTGTCGGTCGCTCACAAAATGCTGATATTCGTTCTTTGGACTTGGTATCCAATATTCGAACTAATTTCGCTGTGCATCCTTTACTGCAATTCTATCGTGACTTTCAATCTGCTATATTTTAAGGACAAACTCTTTAAGCTACATGTCCGGAAAATATTTCACTGCAAAGATCCAGCACCCGTGGAACAAGAGCCCTTTCCCGAAGTTTCATTTCATTGTCCAACTGAGCTGCGAACAAAATGATCATTATTAAATTACACAATAATAGTTGTTCTTATTTCATTGAAGAAAGTGGCACCCAAAACCTTTGCTATCCTTTTTTTTATGAAAAATCAGCTTCCTTTTATCAAGTATTAAAATTAATGTGTCTCAACATCAAAGGCCATTGACACAGAAACAATCAAGTACTACCCATAGATTTCTAAACTTATACTAAAGAGCTATAAGCTAAATTTTGTCATACAGAAAGCAATTCTACAGTGTGCTACGTAAATGCTATTACCGTCGATAAACAGTAATTTATCTTAAATATAATCACACAAAGGGAAACTAATCTAATCTAAACTCATATTGTATAACGTACAAACACGAATACGCACCCGTCATTAAATTAATTTGCGTCGAGTTACTTGCGGTATCAATGGGGGTGTTTAATTAAAAATTAAAATGATAATTGTGCCCTAAATTCAATATTCCATTCATAGACACCTTATTATCAATAGTTATGCTAATTGGGTTTTCGTCACCGCCGTCGCTGATTTAATTAATATCTCGCGAACAGTCGGAACTTTGAATCGAATAATCAAGCAATACCAATTAAGTCGAGCAATTGCTTGGCTATCTATGCGTTTTATCATCACGCACGATTTTAATTCTCTTCGATGTTACGAGTAATTTTGGTCGAATTGCTGTTTCATTTTCGCTGGACATGTAACCAAACGTCCATAGCTACTCTGTTGACCCACGATACCTTTGGAGCAAAGCTCATGATTTTCATTATTAGCTCCTTCCTCATTTCTCAATTCGAACCAATCATTTGGAAAATGTACGAACATCGGATTTATGGCTCAGTGGTAAGAGCATTGGGTTATAAATCCGAAGGTCGGGTGTTCGAACCTGGGTTGAGGTGAATTTTTCATCTGTGGCGGAGATGGAAATTACCTTAGGCCAGTTCCGAGCATTCTACCGGCTACTCCGAATTAGGTTTTCCTGCAGTTTTCCTAATTCGTAAGATAATACCGGAGTAGTATAGACCATCTTAAGACCTTCTGCAGAGGCACCTCTAAATAGCATTATGCGGGTCACTCTAATTGGGCGCATGCCTGTTGAGGGCCCAAAACAAGAGAGGTATAATAAAATAAAAAATAAAATAAAACAAGTTAACATAATAGAAATTGAAAGAAAATTGCAGCAATACAAGTAAAACCTCTTTGTTTCAATCAATGTAAATATGTACTCGATTTTACTCCCAGATACGATTGTGTGTTCTAAGGAACACAGCTGCAAATATGTCTCGGAATACTGAAAATTATGTTAACGAATGAAGCGGAAGTTTCAATACACTCAAGTGGAGTTGTTTGTGGCTCTATATGCTGTACGTGTTATGAAAACGGACAGTATCCAGTTTGGAGTCGAATCCTCTCTACTTTAATAAGTCAGCAAATGCTAATTCAAAATACAGATCTAGCAAATAAAGCATTGGTCCTTGGAGCCGGATTCGTGGTTTAATTGTTTTTCATTAACTCTTCGCGTACAGAAAAATTTAAATTTATAGACAACGGGTTAATAGTACCTAGTACTTTAGTATATGAAACAAGTGTCCAAGAATCAAGAAGATAAAAGTCAAGAAAACACAGTGTTGCCACGATTAGGTTAGGGTGTTTGCACTTAAATTGTTACTACAAGAGCGTTGGGGTTCAAGGTGTAAAACATTTCCGTTGCGCCACATTTGTAGTGGCAAGTTACGTACAAAAACCAATTTATTAAGCAAAGTTGTAAATCTAATTTGTTTATATGAAGTGCGAACAAAATTATGGACAAAACGGCTACCCGGAAAAAGATTAAAGATAATTAGTTCAAGCTTGTGTTGGATGTTAAAACCCTAAGTAACAAGGGTGCATTTTTGACATTTACAGTGCAGAACATCGGTAATTTATTACTGTGAATAACTCAAAGTGCAACTCATTAAATCAAAGTAAGCTTGAAGTATCTACCATCTTTCGAAATTAATGTTCAGCAAGTAACCCAATTCAACTGGTAATACAAGTAGTTCGATCGTATTGCCGAAGGCGTTCCACTATCCGATTTTCTGATTTGCGGTGTCATTTCACAAGCAAAAATCCAACTAGAAATTGGAGTTTTAAATAGGAATTTGGACAAGGTGTTTAGTTAAAAACAAATATCAAAATCCTGATATTTGATTAGGCTGGAACCATGATCATGATATAGATAGTGAAATTTGTCTTGTATTTATTAGAGGAATTACGTCAGTAGTTTCAATTACGATAATTGCAAAGAAAACTGGAGTTGGAGCGATCTAATTTCATTAATATATTTACACACGTCAATTTATTTAAGATCAACCATTAGAGCATCAGCTTTTTTGAGTTTCAGATTATAAGAGGAGAGACAGAACCAACGTTCTGCTAGGTAAAAGTAATTAAAGGTTTGCTTATTACTGAGCTAGCCGTAGTATGTATAGGTTTAATTATTTCATTGCAAAAGATTAATTGCTACAGTAAAACTTTTACCAGTGCCGTAGAGAATAAAATCTGGTTGTGAGCGGAGCTGGGCAGTATTCGATTTTGTAAATACTTTTTAGTATTCAAATCCTTTAAAGTATTTAAATACTTTGTAATTAAATACTTTTATGGAAGCAGTATTTATATTTGTAACTCAAATACTTTCACAAATATTAGTATTCGAATACTTCGCAAGGTATTTGAATACTTAACCTTTACCAAAAATCGACTACACCAAAATTTCTCGGGAAAACACCTTTTCTTATTAATTTTGGGGCGTAGAATCCAAAACGATTCGTACTTTTTCGATTAGACTTCTCAATCAAAAGTTATAGACTAGAAACCAGTTTCGAAAGAAAATTCAAAGGGTTGTAACTTTTGAACTAGTAGCTCAATCTTGGAACTGTTTGAAATTATGGATTCTAGAGGCCCCATTCTATAAGAAAATTTTTTTCCGGGTCGATCTGAGACAATTTTTTTTTCGGGCCTCAAAAAAAGGCAGTGTATAACCTTCCTTTTTTACCAAAAATTGACTACACCAAAATTTCTCGGGAAAACACTTTTTCTTATTAATTTTGGTGCGTAGAATCCAAAACAATTCGTACTTTTTCGATTAGACTTCTCAATCAAAAGTTATAGACCAATTTCGAAAGAAAATTCAAAGGGCTGTAACTTTTGAACTAGTAGCCCAATCTTGGAACTGTTTGAAATTATGGATTCTACAGGCCACATTCTATAAGAAAATTTTTTTCCGGGTCGATCTGGACAATTTTTTTTTCGGGGCTCAAAAAAGGCAGTGTATAACCTTCCTTTTTTACCAAAAATCGACTGCACCAAAATTTCTCGGGAAAACACTTTTTCTTATTAATTTTGGTGCGTAGAATCCAAAACAATTCGTACTTTTTCGATCAGACTTCTCAATCAAAAGTTATAGACTAGAAAACAATTTCGAAAGAAAATTCAAAGGGCTGTAACTTTTGAACTAGTAGCCCAATCTTGGAACTGTTTGAAATTATGGATTCTACAGGCCACATTCTATAAGAACATTTGGAAAAACAAATCTGTACCAATTTTTTCTGAATGATCCCGGTACGGTTGCAAAAGTAGTTCAAATGCACTAAATTAGTTCGTTTGTTATTTGTTGTTGTGGCTTATCCCGGGGCGTTTTCTGTTTTTAACTTTTATTTAATGTTTTTAGCCAGTAAGTGTTAGTTACCGATGGAATTAAAGTTTAACGAAGGAAATGCTTCCAGAACGCGTAGGTTTCCTTTCTGGCGAAGTTGATATTTTAATCGAAAGTGTTACTCCGGAGTATGAAACCGAATTGACTTTATTTCTCTCGAAACAAGTTTTACTCACCAACGAAGTACCAAAGAATGTTCTCGATGGCAATACAAACCTTGCACTGCTTACGCAGAGCTTGCAGAAGTCATCCAGCACGGCTCAATCTGAAAAGGCTACTCAAGGTTTGCTCGCTGCTAAGAAGGAATTAAAAAGACTGAGAAAATTTGTATGCTCACAATGCGGTTACGTTACCAGACTGAGAAGCGGGTACCTCGATCATGTGAAGCAATGTGATTTATCACAAAATTTCCAATGTGAACATTGTGATTTTAGAGCCAAGTCCAAATCCGGTTTGTTTATTCACATAAACGGATGCCATAGTTTGTGCCAATATAAATGTGACCTGTGTGATTTTACAACAAAGTGGAAAACTAGTCTACAACCTCATTTCTGCAAGTTGCACGCTTCGGAAAAACCATCATTTACTACTGAACGACGTGGTGGAACAGTACAATTGGACACCCAGAGCTTAGGAAAATTTGTCTGTTCGCCGTGTGGCTATGCTACCAATTTGAAGCGCTCGTATTTCGACCACATAAAACATTGCGATTTATTGAAAATATTCCAATGCAAATTTTGCAAGTACAAATGCAGATCAAAACCTAGCCTGATGGTTCACATAAACGGTCGTCACAAATTGTGTCAGTTTAGTTGTAAAGTATGTGATTTTACAACAAGCTGGAAGAATAGTTTAAGAGAACATTTCATTAGAAAACATGGTACACATAAGTATGTGTATGATATAGTAAAAGGGGCACAATTATCAAGTGGAAGACTCAATTTGAAAAGATCTGCGATAAAACCCAACAACCATCGTCCATTTCAGTGTGCACAGTGCAATTATAGCACCAAGTCAAAGTATTACTTACGTACCCACATGCACACTTCGCACGGTGCACATCAATATGAATGTGACCTGTGTCCTTTTACAACAAAATGGAAAAGTAGCATTCGACTGCACATTAACAGCAGCCATGGTGCTAATGCAGTGCCGAGGGTTACTAGTCGTATTAGATTAGCAAACAAGGACCGCAATGAACAGTTTTATTGTGCACATTGCAATTATAAAACAGTGTTAAAGACATCCTTATCAATTCACGTACATGGCCGTCATGGTTTGAATCACTACAGATGTGAGCAATGTAACTTTACCACAAAATGGAAAAGTAGTCTTAAGTCGCATTTAAGTAAAGTGCACGGTATAACAAAAAGAGACGATACTCAGTTAATAAAATGTGAACTTTGTGACTTTAAATCTGGATCAACGGCTGCTCTTTTGAAGCATATAAGTAGATACCATCATTTGAGGAAGTATGCCTGTAAACAGTGTAAGTTTACAACAAACTGGAAGAGCAGTTTAAATGAGCATGCAAGGAGAAGGCATGGCACCCTGAAGCCCTCATTTACCTACAAAGTAACAGAGGAAAATATTGATACAGTCGTGAGCAAGAAACAAACGGAATTTCAATGTGCACATTGCGAATATAAAAGTAAACATAGAGGCTGTCTAGTAACTCATTTGAATGGTCGTCACAGTCTACGTCGACATAAATGTGAGCTGTGCACTTTTGAGACAAGGTGGGAAAACAGCTTAAAAGAGCATACACGTAGAGTGCACAGCGAAAAAAAGGCGCGCGTACGTCCTAAAGCTAATTTAGTGAGACATTTCAACAGCAAACATTAGAAGACTGTTTTCGTAAAGGGGGCCCTTTTTGTCACAACATGGATGCGTACTTTTGTGGCACATAAACAAAAATATTGAAGAAAACAAAATGCAATTTGACTTTGGTATTGAAAGGGAGACTCTTCTCTTATTGAGATGTGCAATATTTACGTTATACTTTATAGTTTATATTAAACATTTTCTATTTTGTTTATTTTTTGTATGGCAGCTTTATTGTTTTGGAGTTTTGAGTAACACCTGTTGGTCCTTTTTTGTTCTTTATACACAATATTCTGTTACGAACTTTTCATCTTACAGGAAAACCACTTGAAAAGAAGTATCCTGTATCTATTTAACTACTGTTCGTTCGTTTTCACTTGATCCTGCATAAGTAATTTATGCGCTGAGAGGAAAGGATTTAGCATTCGCTCCGTAGATTCTGTAAAAGTAATAATTTTGCGCAGCTACAATGTGACTGAGGGAAACCCTCCCAGCCACGGCAGCATTCGAACCCACAGCCTCTCCCATTCCATTCGCAAACATTATCACAATGTTATTAGACTCAATAAGGGCTCATGAAGGATTGTGTAAAGAAAACGTGGGTAACATTTGCACCTAATAATCGTTTATTATGTAATAAAATTTGTAGGTAGTTGATACGCAAATCTAATTAGTAAAGGCGTCGCAATGTCTTAGTAGTAGACATGTACATAGTTAGGAACTTAAATAGGTGCAGTTAGAGCGCAGCTACCTATTACATTATAATTAACCTCGATCTTACTACTTCATTACAGTTATTAGACTTTTAAATGAAAATGCATATGGGAAAACTTTTCACATTACCATCATGGCTAGTGCTATCATATGGTAGAATTTCAGAGTCTCAGCAGTTAGTGACGTGTCTGTTTATTGTTAACTTTAAGAAAATGCACAATTTCTTAACATAAGAAGTATTATACAATCCTAAACGTATATCCAATAGTCTAAGTTTAACAACCAGCAAATATTACAGCTCAAATCAAAATAAACAATACTGTCCATTTTCTACGGAAGCGTACAAGGAAAATACTGGTTATATTTATATTAATTTTTTAGACAGTTTTTTCTTAAAGATATACGCACAACCCTTTTATTTGATATACAGTGACATTCATGTAAAAGTAGACATAGGTTTTTCCTGTAGGAATTCCCTATGTCTACTTTTACATGATAAAAAGTCTCCTGAAAGACGCCTAGTTTTATGCAACCAAAGTAACTACTATGCGATCAAAAATATTGCTGTCGAGTCGCCTTTGAAATTTTTGTTTAATTGGAAAATCGTATTTAACTTTAACTTCCAAAGGCGACTCGACAGCAACTCATTTTTGATCGCCCGTTACCTACAACAAATGACTTCCCTATTCTAATTTCGGTTCGTGTGCGATGTACTCAACTGAAGAAAAAGTTGATTATTTCCAATTGGTATAGTGCCGATAACAGTTAAATGAGCTTAAGATATTTATTTCCTGTGAAGCTCAAGTATAAATTCAATGGCTAAAGCAACAATATATTGAAATTAATATGACAGCCAGATCCTTATTTGTTTCAAGAAGTTATTTTGGTTGCATAAAACTAGGCGTCTTTAAGGAGATTTTTTATCATGTAAAAGTAGACATATGAAATTCCTATAGGAAATCCCTATGTCTACTTCTACATGAATATCACTGTAGATCAATTAATTACAGTAGGTACCTCGTAAACAGATTGCCCTGCTAACGAATGCAGGTGATACAATAACGATGTAGGACACATTACGTATAATACATAGACAATGAAGTAGAAGATTACTAATTGAGTGAATGGCAGAGGTACTGAGGTGGGGCACTCTCAAATTCTGAAAGATGCAATTGCATACTAATATCAGAAGGGCGATAGAACTCACATTCAAATTAGGGAAAAACTATCTCATCTTTCTTGATGAGAATGTGGCATTCTAACTAGACATATTCATCTTCACTGATGGATATAAAACAATGGAAGGAACAGCCACTGGTATTTGCTCCGAAGAACTGAACTTCCATATCGCCCAGGTAGGACTAACACATAATGAAAGAAAACGTCTATGCATAACATAAAGAACAAAATTAACAGAATCTCCTTTGGCAAGCACTCCCCCCACCCCCTATGCCCTTCCAGCATCCAGTTCCAGTTAAAAAAATGCGCTTTATCTGCACAAGACCTGTGCACAATTTATACTTATGATTGGTATCGGGTGCCTTACTTACATTGGATACAATAAACAAAACAAAATCTCCATGAATTCATGGCCTACTATTAAATAAGGTTTTTATTGATTTTCATTGCTAAAATTAAAACAAGTTGAGACCATTCATTAGAGTACCATGACGGATAAATCTAGTTCTATATCATTTCGTTCAAACGTTCTGTAAAAAACGCAAACTTTACAAGCTTTGTTTTGGGTATTGTTTAAAGTATTTAAACAATGTTTTGGGTCAATAAATAAAATAAATCGGAAAATAAGCCTTTAAAATCGCCTACGTTGATAGGTGTCAGTTGCATTACCAATAATAGCCTTTATTTCTCACACACACCTTGTATATAAAATATGCCATGAAGAGAACAAAAACAAAAATTTCCAAAGATGCCGAGAAATCTCATGGTGCCAATTCAAATTGGTAGTCAGTCACCTTGGTCAATTCATTTAATGCGAGTTTTTAACCCAAATATGCTACAGGTACCATGAGAACTATTAGAGTCCATTTGCTTCGTTTTACTCTAAAATCGAGACCAAATTATTGCACAACTTCCAAAAAATTAATATTTAAGCCCTAAGGCGAGCCAAAATTAAAATACTGTTAAAGAAAAAATGCCAATTTTGTATAGCTGTACGTATCTGGAGAGTTAAAAAATTGGGGTTGTACGAAAGGCTTGCCTTTTTTGGGTCTAAAATAAACAACTTTTATTTCTATTAATAAGAACAAAATTCTAGTAACTCAACAAACTCCTCAAATCAATATACCATCATAATGAACAAAAGTGGACAATTTATATTAATTCTTCATTAACAGTGGAGCGCTCCTTTTTCAGCTTCGATACATTTGCATCGCTATGTTTAACAATATGTGCACACAAATCATCTCTATCGGTTAACGAGGTGCTGCACAAGGAACAGGCATAAACACTGTGAGCTGTCGCCCAATTTGCGACATGCACCCATCTGACATGTTCGCGAAGTACCACCTTCTGATTGAATGCCCGCGAGCACAATGGGCATTTGTACGGTCTCTCGCCTGTATGTATGCGTTCGTGCTTTCGTAATGTGGCCCCGTCGCGAAAAGCCTTCTGGCAAAACTTGCACTTGAAAGGCCTTTGGTCACCGTGCTTTCGTTTGTGTATTAAGTAACCCTGTCTACTGGTAAAAGTCTTGTTGCAATCGACGCACTTGTGAGACCCCGTCGAGGTGTGCTGCATACGATTGTGCGCCCATAAACCTGGAATTCGTGTTTAATTGTGGTATACACCAAACGGATAAGTACAAACCTTGACGGCTAGAAAAACACTTTCCACATTCACAACACAAGAAAGCAGTCGTCGATTGATGTGATGACAGTCTGTGGTCTTCGAGCTCCGCTTGCAACTCAAAACAGTTTGCGCATGTTTCGCACGTAAATGGATTCTTGCGATGCAACCACTTGTGTCGAATTAACTTACTCTTTGTCCGAAAGGTTTTCTTGCATTTCGAACAGCTTATCTTGCGTTTCTTACAGTCGTCATCATCATCCTTCTTCTGCATGTGCAGTTTTAAATGTGATAAAAGTGCAGAATGTCTCGAGAACGATTTGGAACAGGTAGTACACGTTTTTGGCTTTATTTTGTCTAAATCATCGTCTGTGGAGGTTTCAATAATCAACTCTTGAGCTACATTCTTCAAATCGTCAGGTTGTATCATGTAATCGTCCCAAATGTTACAGAGAACTGGTAGGACACAGTCGTCCATCATTAGTAAATGGAAATCTGGTTGTCTTTTTGTATTAACCAAAGGGGGGGCTTCGACTGCTACACTTTCACCCCCATTTGCCGAAGACTTACCTAATGCGTTAATATTTCAAAACCAAAACAAAAACGCTGCAAATTTTTCTTAGGTTATGTTTCTATTAAATTTTAAATCACAACATACAGGGCTACGAGTAAATTTTGTTTTCACTCGTAGATACAGGGACTTCCTCAAAGTAAGAAATTTTCCTTGACGTTTTAAGACAGACATATGTCGATGGTTTAAGGCCACAGAAAATATTAAAGGCTTGTTGAAGAAGAAAATATTGCATGATTGATGATGTCGAGGCTAGAAAACATTAAAAAATTCAAAATATCACAGGTGCAAATTTCACAGCCTATAGGGCAATAAGATTTTGCTGCCCCCCTGCACCACAAGTAGAACACTGAACATGAGCAATAGCATTTTAACACACGACACTACCACGAATTTAAAATGTGTCCAGTGTGACAATAAAATGAACGATAAACTTAATTATAAAACACAATTATTAACATGCAAGATCACAAAGAATTTAAAGTATACCCAGTGCGATTTCATCACGAAACGTCTTAAAGCACATCCAGACATATGGACCTGTCAACGACTTAAAATGTGACCGATGTGATTTTTTCACCCACTACAAATCCAACTTTTGATAGAGTACACAAGAGCAGTAAGAATTTTAAAAGCGACTGGTGTGAACTGTAACACTGCACATACATACAAATTACTACACACCAGCAAAATGGACCTGAGTTATTGTTGACGCATATACCTAGCTCGATCTTGGCATTGTCCATGAATCCACAGCCTCATTCTTCCAGCCTGTAACAATTACATCAATTAAACTTAATTGCAATTCCAATTTTTATTATTTAAACCTACAGTAAGGTTGATTTTGTAAACGTTTTATGTTCACAAGTGGGCACAATTAATGCCTAATTCATATAAACTTTTTTTTACCAATAAACTATTGCAAAATTCGTAAAGCGGGCAAAACGAACCGCTAATGAGCGAGCAATATAATAATAAAAAGCTGTAAATAAGAGCACTTGAAACAGTCTTAATCTGTTCTCTGTTGAAAGACTATTAGGGCTGGTTTTTCATGTGTCCGAAAAACTTATCTGGTACAAATCCTCATTGGTTTCCATGGATTCTAAATAAACTTAACAGAGTTTTCACGATAATAAACGCTTGTACAAATTCGTTTATTACAAAAACATAAAAATTGTAAACATTTTATATTAAAAATATTTGTATAAAAATAAAATAAGTCAATTCTTTTCTGTACGGATTTCTGTAGGACTGGTAATTCTTGCTTCATTCTCTTTAATCTAAAAAAAATGGTCATGAACGATTCAGGCACCTAAAAAAGTCTCACCTTTATATGGGTGTACACAATCAAACCGAACAACGTCAAACATACTCCAAACCACTGATTTTGTGACATTTCTCGGTCATATAAATACCATCCTCCCAGCATAATTAGAACAAATTTCATATGCCCCACCATATTATACCTAAAAAGTGTAATTATAGGGAAGTTATACCAAAAGCATGGAATGTAAAAAAATACGTGAGAGGAGAAGTGTTCCCCAAGATCCAGTACGTGGTCAAATTGACTAACACAGCCGCCAAACAAGAAATGGTTATAAAACACTAAAAAACTACATTATAAACGAAACAACTATTTAAGACTTGCTAACCACTTCGGTAAGGGTCCAATGATGCAGGAATGTAGTAACTATTTCAGGCTCCAAAAAAGGTATGCAGAGACAAAGGAGAAATGCAGACAATGGTGCCTGATAAAACAGCAGCTGCATCGAATTCAGTTGCATTTCCGCTTGTTTCGAATTCACAAGCTAAGAATGGTCAAATTTAAAATCGTACAATTTACCAGCAAACCTTACCACTTGATAAAACGATGTAACAATTACGCCTAAAGTTGCAAAAACCGTTCCAACCGTATTAAAACGTATGTCGTAACTAAAGCACAATATTACACCAACCACGATCGGCACCTACAAATAAGAGCGTCTTTAAACATGTAAAGAGCCATGCCCTACCTTACTGTAGCGAATTTCACGCTGTGCGAAAATTGTTTTCCCCGAAAGCTTTGTATGATCATAACGCCGGGTGTAGTCATCACTTTGGCGACTTGAAATGCACCGACCGAATTGTACTCCAAGCTTAAGTTCGTGAAAACGACAAAGCCACAAAAGCAAAGTGACAACGTGACCAATTGATGCACGTTTACAGACTTAACATTGAAAAAATTTAGCTTCTCGCATACGCACAAACTGCAAAATGTAGCAATAAAGTGTACCATCGTTAGAGATATATTTGGGAAGATTTTTTGCGAGTAAATCCATTTGTTTAATAATATTATTGTAATCGAAGATGCTATGTTAGCGATCAAGTACAGGACCGTTTTTACGACAGACATTTTCGAACGGCTTCGTAACTTTCTGTGTGCTGTACTGTTCGGCTGTCTGTGCTTTTCTCTTGAGTACATATTTAGATTTACATCATGCTTAGATTTAGATAATCGACAGCCAATGAATTATTACTCAGATCGGCGTACAATTTACAAATTTTTAAAGGTTAAATTTTGAGGTTATGTAAAGATTATACTAAGTGGCTATCATACCACCTTAGGGACTTTTGATTAACCAACATATTATACGCACCATGTATAATCAAGAGCAAAAGGTTTGTCCCAAGTTGTTTACCGTAGTGATTTATTTAACCATGGAAAGTGTAGAAAAACTAACACTAGCGCAAATTTGACAATATTTTTGCGGTAATAATCTCAAAAGTTCCAGAAAACGCCAAAAAGCTTTGAAAATAACTTTAGATGGTTATTTGGAAGGTCGGATTCTGAGATTATATGCCTTTCCGAACATCTGAAATGCTTTTTTGGAGCCTTTCCCGTGGATAGGCATGTTATAAACCGGATAATGAAAGTTCACCATGCACTAGCTAGAGAGCAAATAGCATAAGCAGCAACACCCTTGAGCTCGCATGGGTCAAAGAGCATGCTGGAACAGAAGGAAATGAGAAAACCGATGTATTTGCCCGACTGGCCTCAAACAGGTGCTTATGGTCAAAAGCCAACTCTTCCAGTTACAGTTTACAAATGTAACCTTAACTTAAGAACTTAAGACATCACCCAGGTCAGGGCTAGGTGGAATATGATGTTAGATTGTCACCATGTGAGAGAATTCTCTTCAAAGGACCATCTCGTAGTCGGGCGCGTTTTTGCACAGGGTTATCATGAAAGAACCTGAGGTCATTCGAGGACATACCTTCTGGGGACTGCCAACCAATCACCATCTTTTTTTTCCTAATTATGATTAGGACCGAAAGTTGAATTAAATTTACACATATCCTGAAAGTTCTGAAGAGAAATAGATCTGGTCAGACTGTATTTACACTGTATACTATAGATAAAAGAAAAACGCCAATCTTGGACAGAACGTAAAAAATTCAAGGATTTTTAGAGAGGTCATTACCTTTTATTGTATCTTCTGTATATACAATTAACGAATTTAATTTGAACTTTTGAATCCTTCCCACTCAGACACAGGCTGCCCGCTGCCGGTAAGTTAGATTCCCCAACACTGTTAATGGTTGTGCTTGTGTTTGGTTTTGTCGGCAAATGGTGTACCGGTTGTCGTTATTTTTTAATTGAACAATTATACAATAACTCATACTGGTAAGTATTTGCATTTAACAATTACAGTATATTCGCGATAGGTAATAATGAAGAGAAGTTTAATTTAATGTGCACAATTGCTTGGGTGAAAATATGGCTTCTTTGTTTTGTTTTTATGAATGGAGTCTTGCCTCTTGCGTCCTTCTGTCGAAAGATCATTTTACATTCGTAATTTGATCCCTTAATCCGGCACTTTATTTATTTATTTTTAAATTGATATGCTTCATGTGTTTTACACACCCAAATGTATACAATTCCCCTCTTGATTAATTTATTGCTGTTTAGGAATGAGTCAAAAGGTGGTGACACGCTCCAAAAAGCAATCAGAAGATGAAGCCAATGGCGAGTTCAAAACGCCAGATAATTGTAAAACCAAAGAGGAAGGCACCAAGAGCATGAAAAGTAAGAATGAAACCGCCAAAAGTGAGGGTGAGGATGGGAAGAAGGGAGCAGTGAAAGATTCTGATCAGCTCAATGGTGACAGTAGTGAGTCAACTGCCACCAAACGGTCCATACACAAACGCAGTCGATCGAACACACCATCAATAAAAAATGACAATGCGAAAGGTAAATATCAATCAATAGTAAAGGGTAAATCCAGAGTGTAATGTTCGAGTAAACGATCAGAATTGGATGGTTCCCGTTAGCGCCTTCTATGGGACTTTTTTTTTTGTGAATCTGAATCTGTTATCGGATTTTCCATAACACACTAGATGTAGAAGCTACTTTCTTGGGCGCTATATTGGATTTTTACGGAATAAGATAATAATAATAATAATTACAAAAATCTCCTCTTTATGCGATCAGAATGGTATTTACATGACTTTAGCTTACCCTGAGATTTACATACTCACGACTACAGTTATGTATTATTAATTGTGTTCCTAATTAAATCGCATCTTTCTAGACGAAGAGGATCCAAAAGAAAATACTGAAGAAAAAGAAATCAAAAAGGACAATGACACTTCTCCAGCTGAAGCGGGAAAAGAATCAGACATTATACTAAAAGACGTCGTAATCAATATTCAAACCCTCCAAACCGAAAAATACGAGCCCAAAAATTCCCGACCATCCTCGCCGAGCACATCTGTCGAAATGGACCCGCTCATTTTGGAAAAGGAGGACGAAGAACCCATACCTGAACTTCAATTCGACGAGAATGACATCGAAGTGGAGTCGGAGGGTTCGAATAGTCGATGTAAAACGCGTAGATCGCACTCACGTAACGTCTCCACCCCGAAGACCCCCAAAATTGCGGACCAAGAAGCGGAGGAGCTCGAAATTGTCGACCTGTCTTGCGATTCGCGAGGGGGCAGCGTTACACCAAAGAAAATGGCGTCGTCGAACGATCCCAACATAATTAACATAAATCTACAACCTCCCGAGGAAACGATCGATTTGAACGATACGTCGGACACTTACTCATCGGTGTCGACCGATAATCTTAGTACAAAAGCGGTGGTGGGCAACGACGCGACGAGGAATTTCGATTTTACCGGCCAAGATTCGAGCATATTCGACACCACCACCAATTCGACTTTCTCCAATCGCAGTTATGCCGATACCGTCAAAAGTTTGTCGGGCAGACGCGGTATCCATTCTGCAGCTTGCGACAATTACAGAAAGTACGTCTTAAAGAATACAGTTGACGGAAAAGGGGATATTTACTCCGACTACGAATCAGTACAAAAAATTACGATGGGAATGAAGAGAAAATCGCGCAGTTTCTCACCGACGCCCTCCAAGCGTGTCAAATCGGACTCGCCCGGTCTTTTCTCGTATTTGTCCAGTCCCATCACTAACTTTCGACAGACTTTCAAAAAAAGCAGCACACCTCAACTCGTTATGGTCGAGAAGTGCGACTTTGATACGGACGGCGATTTTGATAAGATTAAGTTGGAGAACGGCATGGGTGACGGTAAAAAACGATGCAACATCATGTAAGGAAGGAGGTATTAAGTAGATTTGGTAGACATAGCAGATACGTACCAAGTTTTCATTTTAAAATCAATTTTATACTTAATGTGTACAAAGGTATATTTTGACAGTATTTGATTAAATTTGTACAGATTTTGAGTAAATTGGCAAAGGGAGTGATAAATTTTATTCTCTTACTCGAAGTTATGGAATACTCATGTAAAGCAATATGGGTTTGTAGGATCGTGGACTTGATTGTACCCCATTTTCAATTGTGTGCCGTATAAATGTTTGATTTAGTATTGAATTGACTGCTGTATTTCAAAGTTTATTCGTTTATAAGTCGTATATACAAACATTATTATTACAAATATGTATTATTATCATTGTCGAAAACTTGATTGTTTAGTTTTAATTGATAGACAACCCTCATTAATTATATTATGTATTTGTGTTTTGTAATTTTTTAAATACATACATATATTTATTTGTCATGATGAATCTTGCAATTCTAAAGTATCCTTGAACTATTTTCAGTATCTGAATTCATGCAAGCTCCCTTATAAAAGTACAGACTTAATATAGTCCAGGGAATAGAGACTTGAAACTGGCAAATTTAACAATATTTTTTGTATGTTATATAATGTGTCCAAGATAAGAATGAATAGCATAAATCTGAAACCGTAAGAGATACACAGTTGGTTAAATTATTAGGAAGCAGTTGCATGCTATACAGGGTCATTCTTGACGAGCGTCAGTTAGAAAGATATGGAGAAACTTTGAAAATGAAACTAAACTGATGTCCTTGAAGGGTTTTGGCACCAAGAATTGAACTAAAATATTTTCAAAATGGCGCCACTTTCGCAAATACCGGAAGTAGCCATCAACTTTGTTATTTTAAATATCAATAATTTGGGTCCTATTGAGTTTGAGGCATAAATAACACACAATAAAGACTACGTTAAATTCTGGGCAAATAGTTCCCTGCTATGCCACGGTACAAATGAAAGATTGATCTATGATGGGAGGGAGAAGAGCCTATCCAAAATATTACCCTAAAATACGCCCAAGCCCTTTAGAATGTTCAGCATACAAAATGAAACGGAACAAAATACAGTCAGACAGTTACATCTGAGTATTTATTTTAAATCACTTATTTCGCAACCTGAAACCAATACACGCAATTGGTCTTGAAGACAAAATAGCCTATCCACTGGGATCAACTCGAGCAACATTTCAGGGAATTTCCAAATATCCAACGAAACAGTTTTCGCACAAGTTTTTCGGAAATTCTTACAAATTATTTGAAGGTATTTGGATTTAGAGAATCCTTTCTATTTTTAGCGCATTTCCACAACAAAAAAATGCGCTATTGTGGCCACTTTGTCCGTCCGCTCGTTTTGAGACGCTACTAGTTTTTTATCTTAAGAGCTATTGTTCTACTTTTTTCGCTATTTGGTTGGTTATGGTGTCGAGTCTAGCACCAAGGAAGGAATTTTTTCTGTACCGCTTACAAAAAAAGTTATTGTAAAAAAACCAACAAACCGTTTTTTACATGTTCCATAATTTTACACTTTTGCCGTTTATTAACGATCCTAGAGATCGTTTATAATTTTGTATTGCTGTCTGTCGTCTGTCTGTTCCTTTGTCTGTATGTCCCTCTATCTGTCCGTGTGAACGATAACTTTGTTTAGAAATGTCCTATCGCTTTTACATCTCCGTTAGTATGACTTGAATTGCATGAAATTCAATATGGGCATGGCTTTAGCCATATAATACACAATGCCAAAAGTTGAGTCGAATCGATTCAAAATTCACAGTGCCCCTTTCGCATCTCGACCATTTATAAACGGAATTGCAAACTTTTTTAATTATAAAAGTATTTAAATGAATTTTGATACATAGCCACTTGGAATAAAGGCAAATTTAACGCCAGTTTCAAAATTTGGTCTTGCGCATGCGCAGTGCCAACTTTCTTATTTATGGAGGGATTTAAATAAAATTCGATACATAGCCACTTGGAACAAAGGAAAACTTAAAACTTTCTTATTTAGAAAAGCATTGAAATGAAACTCTTCTTATAAACTGAAATTGAAATAGCACGTCAAAAATGGATTGCACATGTGCAACGCTATCTTTCATATTTGTGGGCGGATTTTTACAATTTTAACAAAAGTAGCATCTTACAAATAGGAAATGAATGGAAGTGGAAATGCGCTTTATGTAAATCGTTTACGATAACTTTTTAACTTGTTGTATTTTAATAATTTTAATATTTTTGTTCTACCTGCGTTAGTTACGAAACCGAATTCCGCTAGAAGTCGCTAGTTTGGACTCGAGAATTGATACAATGCTTTCCGCCTAGCCTTTACGGGTATTGGAGAGTTGCGATAATCAGTTCCCCTACTCAATATACTCATGCACAATCAGTCTGTAGATATCCAAGCGTTATTATTCATTTCATTTATTTATAATTTGGACCAAGAAATACGACCGTTAGGTGTTCGACAATGTAATTAAACACATTACAATGAGAAGAGAATTTTATTGTATATTTACATAATTAGCTATTTATTTATCAAGTCTGTCATAAGATTCTTCATCCAGCAGGCGATAAAAATTTAATTCTTTTCTCAAATGGATAAAGTACCAATGACACACGAGTCGATTTTATCCCAGTCGCAAAGGGATGGTCTCATAAGTTGCATTTTTCTAGGACGACTGCTAACATGGAAGGAACAAGAACATGTTTCCTATGAAAAACCAAGTCATACCTGCATTTTATTTTCATTTTTCCTTGATAAAAACCTATTTACATGATGATTTGCAATAGTATACAAAATTGAATGTTTTCGAATTTGTCCTGTAACTAAAGCTCGTCTATAACATTTGAGTAGCGAGATGTCGGTTTCCTCAGGTGTTAAAAACAATTCCACGGGACAAACCACCTACAAAAATATCCGCTAGGATGTAAAAAAAGATCTCATCCTTACTTGTTCCGCCGTCACATTAAATATTTGAACGATGCCGGCGTACTCCGACCATAGAGTTTTGCGATACCGCACACTGTGCCTTTGAATTAAAGGTAACAGAACAAAGTTACCGAATAGCACGTCCCCATAACTCACACCTTGATACTGCTCCAAGAGTTGCGTGTAAAAGTCTTGGAAATTATTTAAACCTAAAAACCGAAAACTAAGCGCGGACGAGTATACAAACGTTACTACCTTCAATCGGCCTGTTAAAGTTAATATTCTCCTCGTGATTTTTAATGATGTGCTGTAGGCAGGCTTCCAACAAGTTGTGTATCTCCGACTCCAAAAATAAATTGTCACTGCCTAAAAATGTACAAGCCAATCTGCAATATCGGTCCGTGGCGTTAATTAACTTTGCCAAATTCGGAAAGTAAGTTTCGTACAAATAAATCCAACGCAAACAGTTTGTAACGATATTAACTTGCTGTTTCTCCGATATTACTTCTTTATTTTTTTGCTGGTTCATGTATAGATATATAATCGGGCTGTAAATCCAATCGATTGGCATCACTGTGCCTGTACTTAAATTAACAAACAAATTGTCGCGTGTCTCCTGAAATTATACCGCCTTACATCTACTATAATTTTTTACAAATCAGATTACCGATTTTATATTTAAGACCGCCGAATAAACGTTCATTATCTGGTCTAGATTATTCAAAGTTTCTACCAATAAGTCATTTCCATGCTCGATGTGTAAATTATTTATGAGTAGCTCGCAGGGGTAGAATGAGGTGCTGAAGACAATGTTCCTCAATATGTACCCGATATCTTCCTTAAATTCGCTGTTGTAAATACTCAACGATTTTATCGCGACCTCGTAGAAGAGCGACACGTCAACTTCGTTTCGGACGGATACGGCAATTTTCAAACAGTTGGCGATTAGCTCGCTTTCTAACCGAGTAAACCAGTTTGAAACCAAGCAGTAATTTGATGTCGAATTTAGCAGCTTAAGGTAATTTGATATGTTGCCATGTTTCAAAAAGGCGACCTTAATCTGAAAATTTCAAATTGAGAAAGCTTTCTACTAGTCCAGGAAATAGAGACTGAAAATGGACCATTTCCTGCAAAACGAGAAGTAGTTCTAATTTTTTTGCATGTCATGAAAGAATATCTGGTGATTAAGAATCCAAGTTTTCGACCTCCCACCCTTTGTGCTTCCCCCGTACCACCCTTAAAACCAAAGAAATTTGGTTGGTTTTTTAGTTTTTCAATCATATCTTTTTATAGATTCATTTTACAAAAAAATATTGTAATCAGAAATTGTAGCCTATAAAATTTTACACCACTTTGATATACACTACTTTTTTGTGAAATGTTTATTAAAAACGGTATAGAGCTTCAGAGTTGCTTATATTTTTAAGAATTCTGAAATTTCTATGTAGATGTTTTAACCAAATTTTATACTTTATCTTTATAATTAAGAGTTTTATGAGAAAATATCTTGAACTTATCGTGGTATAAATCCTCCTACGCTGCACCCTTACCAAAGGGGATGCATAATAATTCAACTTTCAACCCTTGCTAGTGGGGATATTTGAATCACTGTGAGATTGTAGGGCTTTCTAATATACCTTTGAAACAAAAAAATTATCTCACTTCAGTTCAGCTTCATCCTTAAAATCCTTCATCCCCCCTCCCACGCCCCCCCATCCGCGGTAGGAATAGATATTTAAAGAGGAATAGAACACATAATATATAATAAGCGTTGTACTCTCTGACTAACTTCACAATCGCCACAAGAGCGTTTAATTATCTATTTCTACCACGCGGGGGAGGGGGGAGGGGAGGTGAAACTGAACTGAAGTGAAACAATTTTTTAATTTTAAAAGTATATTAGAAAGCGCTACAATCTCGCAGGGATTCAATTATCCCCACTAGCAAGGGTAGAAAGTTGAATTATTATGCATCCCCATTGGTAAGGGTGCAGGGTAGGGGGGTTTATACCACGATAAGTTCAAGATATTTTCTCATAAAACTCTTAATTATAGAGATAAAGTATAAAATTTGGTTAAAACATCTACATAGAAATTTCAGAATTCTTCAAAATATAACCAACTCTCAAGCTCTATATCTTCTTTAATAAACATTTCACAAAAAAGTAGTGTATATCAAAGTTGTGTAGAATTTTATGGTCTACAATTTCTGATAACAATATTTTTTTCTAAAGTGAACCATTAAAAAGACATGATTGAAAAACTAAGAAACCAACCAAATTTCAGGGGTTTTGGGGATGGTACGGGGGAAGCACAAGAGGTGGGAGGTCGAAAACTTAGATTTTTAACCACCAGATGACTGTCTATGACATGCAAAAGAAATTCGAACTACTTCTCATTTTGCAAGTTAAAACCCTCTATTCCCTGGACTATACACCTATTTTGTACACCTACACTTTGCTCACACTGTATAATTAGTCTGGACAGAACCGTTACAAATGGTATACAACTTGAAGTCTGCATTACGGGAATAATACGATCTGGCGCGTCCCAAGCTGCAGCTTCGACCGATCGTAAATTAGCAGCTGGCTTATGCACTTCAAAAGTTTCAAAAGCGCTACAATCTCACAGTGATTCAAATATCCCCACTAGCAAGGGTTAAAAGTTGCAGGGTAGGGGGTTTATACCACGATAAGTTCAAGATATTTTCTCATAAAACTCTTAATTATAAAGATAAAGTATGAAATTTGGTTAGAACATCTACATAGAAATTTCAGAATTCTTCAAAATATAACCAACTCTCAAGCTCTATATCTTTTTTAATAAACAAACCTTAACGTCAGAAAGTGACCCAAACTGTGCCACCCACTTTGAGAGCGCGTACTCGTGCAGCAATGGCAAAAATTGGCCAGCACACGATGCGTTACTCCGAAACGCTGCGGATAAAAATATCAGTAAAGCGGCGGCGTGACTTTGAATGCAATAGCTCGATGAGGCCAAATCTGTTTTTTTCACATGGAAATCTAACAGCTTAATTAGAATGGGTTGCATTTGCCTGAAAAATAAAATGTTTAAACCTGCAAAGCAAGTCACAAATTTACTCGAAGTAATCCATTGCCAAATTGTAATGTACGAAGACACTCCACAAGTGCAAAGCTTCCACTTGTAACTTCAGCCCGTTTGAATTTAACGCAAATGTTGCGTCCGAAAGGTAAAATGATAAAGACGCCATTAGGTTGTATCTGCAACAATTAAGAACTACTATTTTACTGCGAAGACTCAAAGTTAAAATTTGAGATTTACCATAGCGATGTGACTGTTCTGGGGGAATTTAAAGACAATTTGTTATAAAACCTAGAAGGGAGACCCATATCTACTATTAAGGCACTCTGTATATTTTAAAATAGTTGCTATTCTTTATGGCGGTTGAATCTGTTATTATGGGGCCAACAGTTAGCCCTTCAGCATTACCTAAAATACTTACCGATTTATAAACTGAACAGCATACATTTTATTTCTGCTGCTCAGTATCCTAACCAATTTTACTGCTTGCACCACGGGACATCCATAAGCAGAATGGGTATCCTCTGAAAAATTATTTTGGAACCCACCCTCAACTGACATATTTTCTGCTTACCACCAACTTTAACACATGGAACGAAGAATCTACAATTGAAGCAATAAGATCCTCACATTCAAAAACTCGTTTTGCAATATAATCCGAATCTCTAGCCAATCTGATTAGAATTTCTAAGCAATAAGTGATCGTCTCCACCGAGGGCTTTACAGTCGTAATGATGTATCGTATCCGTTTTAAAATGTCAGAGCGCGCCAAACATTTGATCAAATTCGTCTCCGCCAGCTGCTGATCGTTGACAGTGTTATCGTCGTCGGTTTCCGAATGGTCAACAGCGAGTAGCGGCTGTACTTGCCCCAAACCGAACCCCAGCAAATTATCCAAGCACGCCTCATCGATAGGATAATAAAATAAGTTACGGAACGCCTTTACTCCTGCGTTCAATACAGATACCGTATTGTCATCCAGGCAAAATCTCAGCACGAAGAAAATTTGCTCCACGGGTATGTCGATTATATTATCGTAAACGCCGCTTTGGACCAGCGCGAGTATGTTGGAGATTGTGTTTAACGCGACTATTTTCTGTTGAATAATGCTTGACCTGCAACAATTCACCTTAAGTAGTTCTCGGGTAGAAATACTGTAGCACAGACAACCTACCTACCGGAACTGATATGTTGGTTGCCTAAGCTACAGTTTTGCTAGGCGCAATTACCTGCACAACTGAAACAACTCCTGCAAGGTATACCCCGGCCTCCCAGGCTCCTCCCCATGATGGTACAAGCTACGATTACTCTCAGTCATGGGGGCACTGTACGGCAAAATCCAGCCTTCAAAGTCAAACCGAGCTTCGTATACATCCCCCTTATTGCACTTGGGAACGTTAAACTCGGTCATCCATGCCAATTTACCAAGCTCAACGCTGTCAAAATTTAACCACCTATCCGAATTTTCCACGTCCAAAACCTCCCTTGAGGCCTCCACATCTTCCACTTCAAAACTTTGAGCGGCTTCATTCTGTTCTGCAATACTTTTGGTGCGGCTTTCGTTTACATTCTGACGCTTTGCCTTTAGAAAAGCAACAATTGCAGGATCCATAGTCGACAGGAGCTTCTCACGTTCTTCCTTTATTTCATCGACAGTCATTTGCTGCAAAATTGAGACATTTTCTTTGTGTATTGCGTCCTTATCTTGTCCTGTCAAGATACAGCTGTGATCCGGATGTTCTTTATTTTCTCTTACGGTAAGCGGAATTTCGCATGGAACTGGATCTAATTTCTGTTTCTTCATGTGCTGGGAAAATATGCTTCCTTTACACGGTCTTGTGTTTAACTGAAAATGCCGCCTAACAAACGACCAAACAGAATTGCACTCACCTCTCTGCGTTTGGCTTCAGGGAACCCTCTTTTGTGTAGAAAAGGTTGTATAACAACACCAGAGTTTACGTTCACTTTTTGAACAATGCTACCTATGTTTGCATTGGTGGGTATTGCTTCGAAAGTGTTCGCTATTTGCAAGCTGTCATTAAGAAGTGTATTTGATTCCGATTTGGATGGTACATTATCTGTTGAAATCAGTGTTTTCAACTTATAAATCACTACACAGAAGTAATCGTACAAACCTTTTTGCACATTAACAACCTTCGCAGCAGGTTGAATGGAGTTATTTCCTTTATTTTTGAAAAATTCCTCTTGCATTTTAAGGATATCGTCCTCAGTGTCTGTATGTTTTGGTCTGTTATACATCTTAACGATAAATGTTTAATCGAATTTGTTTATATAAAAGTTGTTGAAATTTAAAGGTTATGTTTACTTAGCGCCGTTGACGTATATAGCTGTGGCTACAAGAGGTAGATAGTGGATCAGTAGACGCTTGTGCGGGAGAAAAACACAGGGTGCATGTTCACTGTGGTTTGGAATACAAGTCGATCTTAAAAGTTGAAAAATGATTAAACGTCCGTTGGCTATTACGTGCGAAGCAGAGTTATTACATTGTCTATTGTCCGTCAGCCACTTTACAGGAAAAGTAAGGTTAATAACCCTTGGGGCGGTTCCCGTAAGAACCCCCTGAGCTGGGGGTGTATTTAGAGTGTCCTCTCACTTGGTCCTGTTATGCAAGGAATACATTTCAAACCATCCCCCAAAACACCTCCTTGATCAAAAGAACCACGGTCCACGTCAAGGCAGAGCACTGAAGGGGGTAATTTGTGCTTAAAATAGTAAGCATTTGTTTTATAAGACGTATATCGTACCCTGTGCTCACTGCATCACATCGACCATCGTTGCAGATGTGGTGTTTAACGTGTTGGCACTGCTAATGGTACAAAACTGGTCACGCACGCTGTGTATATATATATATACGCCTATCATCATTCACCATCTAGTGGTAATTCTAAGAATGAATCGTCGTTGACGTTTTTCGATTCGGTATTGTGAGGTTATACAAGCAAAAAGTTTATTTTTTTAGTAGTTGTTATGAAAGGCTTCAATTTGTGTTTTTAATTATTTGATTTATGTGAACTACGTTCCTTCGTCCTTATTGCGTTGTGTAAGTACCTATAATCCTTAATTAGAAAAACAAGTTGCTTCTCTTAGACCATAACCTAAAAAGTAGATCTATATTTACTAAAAGCACAATATTTACAAACGTTTTATTAATAAATAGCACTGCGTAACAATAGGTTTGGAACAAGTTTAAGGTTTGGCATTCTCTAGAATCCTTTGGCATTTCTCTACGTTACTAATACTGAAATCGTTAAATTCTTTGTGAAAGAGGTCTTCGGTGGGTGTCGATCCGATAATTTCGGTTAGCAAATCGTCGTTTGGGGGGCTGTCCGTCTCGTCATCGGGTATGAGAATTGGTGTAGCCCCGTCGTACAAATTCGACTTGCTGAGTGACCTTGTGTAGATATCCCTTGATACGCTTCTAGTAAAGGAGAACTGTCTCGATTTGGTTCGCGTAAGTGGGGGTCTGACGACGAGGTCCGGCGATAAGGGCTTGTCTAGTGTTGCTAGCAGATCAGTTGCGCTGTCTGCGATTATTTTCCACGCTTGCTCGACATCCGGCTCTGTGGCGTACTCATTGACGACACAAAACCTTATGATATATTTACTTTTGACCATTGAGGGGATCATGTGCAGTTTACCCGAGGCGTTAATCATTGCCAGCAATGTTCGGTTAATCGATTCGGGACCTAACAGTCGAAAGCACACTAAACCGAGTTTAACGTCGTTGACCACCTCGAATCTTCGGTCCTTGAGCACTAAGGATTCGAAGTGTTTCGCTAAACGTATGTGATTACGAATGTACTTTTGTAAGCCTGATATTCCGTATTTGCGCAGTACGAACCACAGTTTTAAAGAGCGGAATCGTCGGCTCAGAGGGATTCCCCAGTGGCGGTAGTCGATCGCGTCGTTCGAGTTCGCGTGCTGGAGGTAGAGCGGTTCGACAATGAGAGCCGATGTGAGCTTCTTTCGGCATCGGACCCATAGGCAGGAGCAGTCGAAGTTTGTCAGTAGCCATTTGTTCGGGTTTGTGTTGAAGGAGTCTGCATACTCGATGCCGGCCATTAAGGGTTTCAGTTCTGGGCAGATGAAGGCGTTACCGGCGTAGGCGCCGTCGACGTGGAGCCAAACGCATGGCTGGGACTTGCAGATGGGTCCCAATTCTTGGAGGTTGTCGAATGAGCAGCAAGATGTCGAGCCTAAGGTTGTCGAAACGAAAAATGGCGTGAGCCCCATCGCCTCATCCTCCTCGATCGCCTTTTTTAAGGTGTCGCCTCTAAGTGAGCCGTTGTCGTCGGCATCCAAGATTTTCAGCCGAACCAAGAGGATTAGCGCCGCTTTTTCCACGCAGGAGTGGGCCTCTTTGGAGCAGTAGGCCACTAATTTTGGCAGAAAGGAGCTGTCGTCCAAATAGGAGTTATTTTGCTTGAGGTATTTTATGGCTTGATTTCGTGCTGCCAACATCGTGACGAGCACACATTCGCTCGCCGACGATTGTATCACACCGCCTCCCGTACTGTGCCTGTTATGCGTGATGAAGTCTGCAGGTAAACCGATCGCCTTTCCCAGCCAGTCCATTACTATAGTCTCCAGCTCCGTGCAGGCCGGACTGGCAGCCTGTAATTAAGTACAAAGTAAAAAAGTGCTCAACCAAAAAAAGAGTGCAAAGAATAGGATAGTGAGACAACCTCACGGTGAAAAAGGGAAACCGATTTGAACATTGGTCCCTAAGGGGGAGGGGGGGGGGGTCTCTAAGTACTACCCGGCCTAGGTCTTTTCCAGAACGTTTTGGTCTCGGTTTTGGTTATTTGAAGAAGTGCAAGGCTAGGAGAGTTAGGATAATTTCGAAATGACAGCTTATTAAACAGCCTAGAAAGCTCTGGGAAGGATCTCTAGGGAACCTCTAGAAGCTTTGTAAATACCCAATACTTTGGAGGGCGCCCTAAGTGCTTTCCATCCTCGTCCGACAGATTTGTCTCCTTCTTTAAAGAGCCTTCTAAATTTTTATTTTTATTTAATTTGTATAATAATATACAGGATGTCCGAAAAATATGAAATATCGTATATATCTTTGTAAATATCCATTTTTTCAAAAAATGTTTCAAAATATTTTTTTAATTTTTTTAAAACAAAAGCGCTACAAGTAAAAAAATGTGCGTTCCATACACTGCGAGATACACTCTGCATGAGAAAAGAAATTTCGTATTTGATATACGTAATGTGTACCGCGTAATGTGTGCCACAATGGTCTAGTCTAGTCACTAGTGGATGGATAGCCGGCTTGCACATGGCCGGCACAGGTTCGATTCTGTGCTATGGGAAAAATTTTTTTTTCACAAAGATGCGTATCCAATTCAGCGGAGTTGGACATTAGCTTATATAGGTGTATTATAACAAGTATAAATTGTACACAATTCTTGTGCAGATAAACCACATTTTTTTAGCCGAAATAGATTAAGAAATGGTTGGGTTATAAGGGGAGGAGGCTCTTTACACATAAACATTTAAAGACCGCCTGCCATACATTCAAAATCCTCCGACACTCCATTCTGCAGATATTTGCACTGAAAGCTTCGAGGTCACCAATGGACATATTTCTTCCAGACGTCCCAATCGCTCTTTGTGAGTACCCTCTTCCGACAATCCGTTCTGGAGATATAAGGGAATATATCCGATCATAATAAGGGGTCCAGGAGGAGGACTATGGTTGGTAGAAATTAATTCCTTTCGTTGAGACCTTTAATTAGAATGCCATGAAAGATAAAATTAATTTCTAATTTTCAAAAACAGCATCTCAGGAAATAATTCATGGGGCCCCCCCCCTTGAAGACAGCAAAATTTGATGGCCGTCTGGCACACCTTCAAGGTATAGGCTACATACTGAAAAAAATTCCAGTACTTTAGGACCATTCCCCGAGATCAGGGGTCGGCAACCTATTGAAACGGAAGAGCCATAAGTTACAATTTGCAAAAGTTCCCAGTTTTTAAAGAGCCACTAGAAATTTTCGAATCAATACTGTAATTTTGGTCATATACAGGGTCCTGCAACAGTGCGTCCGTCATTCCTAGCTTATACCTGGTAAAAAAGATTTAAAAAAAATCTTGTGTGCAAATGTCAAATACATGGTTGCGGATCTACAGAAATTATTTTTGAATGTACAGGGTGTCCCATTTTTACGGTGTCAATAAATAAACGCTTTTTTTTAAATAGAACATCCTGAATATTTGTACTTATTTCAATGTCATTTGTTGTAATAAAATAAGATCTATTAACATGAATTTCAAAAAAATGAACTAATTTTTTAGATAAATGCAGAGAGCCGTAACTTTACATCAAAAGAGCCTCATGCGGCTCGCGAGCCACAGGTTGCCGACCCCTGCTCTAGATGTAGTTCAAAACGGTAGAAGTGGGCCCGGACGGACGGACGGACGGACAAAACGCAAACGATAGCACATTTTTTTAATTCTTAAAAAAAATGCGCGAGAAATGCTTCAGGCATGCGCATTTTGAAGCAAACGCAGAAATGGCAGCGTACAGAAGTTTTAATTACATACGCTCGGAAACGGAGAAAGGAGGAGGAGATAAGTACCTTCACTTGTTTTAATATCCATTGAAGTACACCTACGCAGTTTTTCGCGATTTTCTAAAAAATATTTCGATTCGTCGGCATGCTTCTAAAATACTGTTGTTTTTAAATGAAAGTGGGCGCGCTCATTCAGAACATTATGTTAGATTTTCAAAAAACAAAATGGCGGACAAAAATGACGTAATTTTGTTGTATTTAAATGAAAGTCGATATACCTAATGGAGGTTTTAGGCGTACTAATTGCGAATCTGATGTTAAATATTCAAAAAACAAAAATGGAGGATCCAATATGGCGTATAACTTTTACGAAAAATTGTAAAAATCTAAAGAAAAGTCGGTACAGGTAGTGGAAGCTTTTGGGCGCGCTAATTGCGGATTTGATGTTAAATTAAAAAAAAAACAAAATGGAGGATCGAATGTGGTGGATAAAAATTACGAAAAATTGTTGTTTTTAAATGAAAGTTGGTGTAGTAGGGGTTTTTAGGTGCGCTGATTAAGAATCTGGTATTAAATTCAAAAAACAAAAAGAAAATGGCGGATCCAATGTGCTGGACAAAAATTACGAAACCGTCAGAAGACGATGCCAATTTACAGGTCGAAGATTAGATCAACTGATCCTTTGGCTTAGGGTTCTGTTAGTGCAGTATCAACCTATTAATTTAAAAGTCCCCATGAGGAATTGTATTTTTAGACTTTTGGCCAGCTTTTCGGAATTTGCAACCTCTGTGTACTGGCGCGATTTTTTTTCTCGGAAAAAATTCGAAAAATTGGGTAATGTTACATAAGAAATAATAAATAATTGTGAGAATAATTGTGTACAATTTTTCTATATCTTTTGTGGTAAAGGAATTGGGTTCCTAGGGGATCTTAGATGCTACACACCCTGTGTGCGAAGCTGCGATTTTGAATCGAAATTACAAATTTGAAGTTTGGAAGACGTGGACGGCTTTAAATTTTAAGCATTTTAAGACACAATTCTAAAATTTGTGCCATGAGGGTGAACGAGAAATAATTCGAAATTGAAACCTTGTTTCAAAATTTTGGGGTTGAAAAGCGCACGACATTTTATTCTAAATTCAAACTTGAAACCCTTTACTTTAAAACTTGAAGAGTGAAGCATTTTATAAAATTTGAAGAAAGATCATTTCAAGCACGTCAAATTCCATTCTAGTCAATAACGGGGCATTTTGGAAGATTTGTTGACATGATTAAAATTTCAAAATTTTATGGATGTTGTCTCTATTCTCTTCCTGTCTATTCCCACAGTTACTCACCCATGAAAATCCGATACATCCAATAGCGTCCGATAGCATATCGCCCAAAATCGACGGGAACGAGTTACCGGAAGGAAAGTACGCGTGAAAACGTGGATGCTGCCAATGCGTAACTCCTGGCATAATTTTCGAATCGACATCGTCCATGATGTTGTCCCATTCTTCGGGTTCCTGCGGGGCTTCCGCCGGTATGAGCTCCTTCAAGTATCCGGGCTCGACGTTCGGCGTCACCCTCTTCGAGTGCAACGTCGCCAAATACGCACAAATATAATCCACCATCTCTTTACCGCGAACGCGAAACTCTTCGACGTCCATTATTTTACACGAAAAATTTACTAGTCGAACACGTGCGAACTGTGAATGAATGAAGAGTTAGTTTGGTTATCTTTATAATCGCATCCCCCTCTTCATTAATCGTGTTTTCCTCTACGTCACCGCCACCACCATCGCGAACTCCAAGGAGACGCAACGTCTCGTAATACTTAGCGTAATTTATGTGTATCCCACTAGCGTTAATTACAGCTTGTAATGCGTACTTTAGCGGCTTCCTTCGTCGAATCAATCGAGTAGTAGTTTTATTTTTAGTTGATATGTTTTCTGCCCATTGTACCCAAGATCCTCGTGCGAAGAGTTGGACCAAGTTTTGAGAGTTCAATTAGCGGAGAATAAAAAAGAGAAATCAACCTGAGGGCTCTTCAATTAAAACGTCGAATGCAAACGGATGCTTGACCTATAAGAATTTTAATGTATACTGAGTACGTTCCAAACAATTTATCCCTATCGTTTTTTATGACAATTACACTATTACAAGGGAAACCCCTGAACGCACTGGCGCGAAAAGATTTCCCTCAGATGGGGGAACTTTCCTCACTTGTTTTTTTGTTGTTTGATTAACATATGTTAATTGACCAGTCGAGTAAATTAAACGCACCGTAAAATTTACTGACGTAATTTGTGACCAAATTATGTCTTTTACGTCTTTTCGGGTATGGGTTGAGCAAAAGGGCGTGGAAGAAGCACATGTTGAAATGAAAAAATGCAAGTAAATTCGCCTCAAGTTCAAGATATTTTAGTTTGATGGGAAAGCCCGACCTTCGCGTCCAAAAATAAATCGATGGATTGTATAATGATATTTATGGTCCAAACATTGCAGCATCCGTCGACCTTCTATTCTTTCAACAAGTGTATTTATTTAACCATATTAGTTAATAACAGGTAAAGTAATGATCTCTGTCAGTATTAGTGGAATAGGTTTTGGACGTGGTGGAAAACGCCATTAAATGCCATCTTAACAGCTAAGAAATCTGTAGGTAGTTTTTCTTAGTTGATTTAAACGTACACATCCTCTAACTACGTCGAGAAAGAGAACTGTGGTTGGTAGAAATTCATTCGTTTCGTTGAGATCTTCCATTAGAGTACTATGAAGTATATAACCAGTCCCCCCCCCCCCCCTCTCCGACCTTTTGTTAATGGGGAAGGGTGGTAGTTTGTACAAATAGTTTCCTTCGTCGAGACCTTTAATTAGAGTACCATGAAAAGTACTAATCAACAACCCTCCCCCGTGATCACCAGCCTCTGCCCCCCTCTCCCCCATTTTGTTAAGGGGGAAGAGCGGTAGTTAGTAGAAATTAGTTCTTTTCGTCGAGACCTTTAATTACAGTACCATGACAGGTAAAACAATTCCCCCAGTGCACGATACACCATACTACTGGCACACATTCAATGATCAAGTTCGTTCGTTCGCTGATTTGGTATGGGGAAAGGCGATAAATTATAGGGATTGGAACATGGTTCAACTTTGGAGGATTTTGGTCGGTGCCATTCGCAATCCCGCATGGAAGCAAAGTATGGGGGTTGTCTCATTGCGAGCGGGGTTGAGCTTTCTATGCTGCATACAAATTCAATATCGCCATTAGCCGTCAGAGCCCACGTATCTGATTGTTGAGGGGTGGTTTGCTGGGAATATTTTAGATTTTTCAGATCAAAGATTGAGGGCGTAGATACTTCCTACTAAAAATTGGGCTTGGAGTTGCACTAAAAAGTAGTACGTACTCTAGGCACGAGAAATCAGAAAGTAGCTTCCTTCTAGAATTTAGAATATTGGCTGTAAATGCTTACCCTTTCAATTCTCGTTCTTACGGCCCATATTAATTACACAAATTTTCACTTCTAGTTATTTGAAAACAAAAATGGTGATAGCAAACTGGACTGACGTATAGCTACCCGTAGAACTTATACATCGAACATGGCAACACCACTTTGTAAAATAACTGTTATGAAATTATATGAGGACGTGATCGACGACGTGATAAAGGGCGTCCAAGAGCTATTCTTGGAAGATGGAGTCGACGAGCACGTTCTCCAGGAGTTGAAGCAAACCTGGAAAAATAAGTTGGTTGCAACCAAAGCGGTGCATAACAAGTCTACCGACGTCAAAGACGCTTTAGTTAGACAAGCCGATCCAGTTCTTCCGCAGTTTGTTAAGCACGAGGGGAAGCCGCTCGCTCAAAACAATAACAATCAGGTTCCTCAGGTGGTCTCAAATACTTTAGTTCCAATTCAAATCACGTTACCCGCACAGCCCGGATGCAACACGGGCCAGCAAATTACGATACAAGTGCCCGTCTCGTCCTTGCAGGGTAATCAGTTACAAAAGGTGCTCACCGGCCCCCTCATCGCCGCCACGATGAGTCTGCCTCCTCACATAGCGACTTCCGTTCTCCAGCAACACGTCACTGCGGGCCTAAAAAGTTTAGAACAATGCAATACCATACCAAATCCGGTTCTTCAGACTGACGGCGCCTCGGACGAGGGGACGTCGCGACTGCAGCTCGACGGCCACGACGACACCTCGGACGACGAGGTGTCGGACGAATCGGTCGATTTGGACGACGATAAGGACGAGGACGAGGAGGACATCGCCGATGGCGGCGGAGGCGAAGACGATCCTTTGAACTCGGACGATGATATCAGCGAGGAGGATCCGACCGAGGTTGTCGACACGGACAACGTGATCGTTTGCCAGTTTGATAAAATCACCAGGGCGCGTAATAAATGGAAGTTCCATCTGAAGGACGGAATTATGAACATCAACGGGGAAGATTACGTCTTTCAGAAAGCTACGGGTGACGCCGAGTGGTAACTTTTCAGGTCGAAAACCGAGGGCAGAATGCAATCTTTGTTTATATTAACAATTGGCAGTTTTTTTTAATTTTACGTGTTAGTTCATCCCTGAGACAGTTGCTGTGATACACAACTTCAATCCTTACTCTGGAGGTTTTAAACAATGATTTTACTGTTGAATATTTTTTTTGTACTTTTTGCGTAGTTGTAACTACCATTATTTTCGTAGACTGTTGGATTTACATAACTGGTACAGTTAAGATAGATATGCACATACGTGTACAGTATTTTTTGATATGAGTAGTTTTAAGAAATGATAGTTATGTAATATGATAGGTAAATAAACTTATTTTCAAAAAGACGGTTTTTTTTAATGGTGAAACCAGAGATTCGGGAGTGCTTTGCCATTATTAGCGTTAAAAATAATGTTTTTCGCCTTTTAAATCTTGAGTGAGAATTTTTCTTGGTTCCAGATCACGTGACGTGTGCAAAATAAAATCCGCGTTGATAGTTGAGGTTCAGTTTATGTGAAACGCTGTGCTATCTCTGGTGTGTTCTGGAAGAATCGAATCGTTTTAGGTAAGTCATTTTTTTTAATTACTTTGGTAAATAAATAAAATAGAATCATAGACTGAAATTTTTTGCTGTCTGGTAAAGAGTACAGTTTCATCAATTTTTGATATGTTGATGGTAAAAGTATAAGAAAGAAAGAATATCCCCTTTACAAACACATCGCAATTCTTAAAGAAATATAATTTCAACTCAGTTTTTCTTTTTTACAAAACTACTCACAAAATGGCGCTACTAGGTTAAGGCGGCCATCTTTATCGTTAGCCTAGCCCAACTAATCACGCGCGCGTAATGGCCATTAATCAAAACCCAATCTTAGAAACTGAAACCTAGCGCTTGCTCCACTATTTTGGTCACGTAAAAGACATTAAGATTACTTTATCGTTTGTTAACGCCCGTCAGACTGTCGCCGATAACCTTTCCCAGATGATTAACCGGTCACAACGCATACGGAAAATATAGATCCGCCACATTAATTGGAATAACCAGCTCTCTAATAGAAAGCTCTGTATTCTTCCTAATCCTTAACGCCTAAAATTCAGCTTCCCTAACGAAATTCGATTCTACATCAATTAATTTGAAAAAGTAAACCCTATTTCGATATTTTAATATATTATTGTGGTTTATTGGTGCTTTTTCTTACTTTTTGTAACTTCAACGACCGCAGCAGTTCCAGAGCTTCCAGGAATATTCGCATTTAGGCAATTACAGTGAGCCAAATTAAGTAATGGAGCAATTGTAAGGATGCAACACTTTTGAGCACTAAACCCACGATGGAAGTAAATGAAACGATGCGCTTCTTATTTTTATTTGATTTTATTGTTATTTCTGGGAAATTAGAGCGTCCTCACTTGCTAGGGACAAAAAATTAAATAAACCATAAAAGTAGTAATAATAAAATAATGAAAAAATTAAAATTTATATAGAAGAGGCAATTACAGTGAGTAATGAGTACATGGACCGACTGTAGGAATACCAAACTTTTCTTTTTATTAACATTTTTTTTTAATTTTTTAGGAAATTTCAGAATAGATTTAATAATAATAGAAAAGCACATAAATGTATACGCGTATAACAATAGGAATTTCTTATTGTCGGAAAGTGCCATTCCTGCTCCATATTGCATCATTCAATTCGAGTGTCTTGGAAGTTGATTAATGCTTTTTCCCTGCAATCGAATTGGAGGGGTGTAACGACCTTAAACTACAAATTACCTACCTCTTTCTCTTACTGCACTGTACGAGGCGGGAATTCTAATTTAACATTCCCAGAAGAATTTGCGTTAGTTGTCCGTTTGAACTATGTAAAGTACCATCAGTTTGACTGAAAAAATATGATGTAATTCGCAAGTGTTACAAAAAATTCAATGACACTTCCAGGCAGCGTAACCGGAATTGGCAGTACATGAAAAAGGTAGGGACGCGAATTTAATTCTCTTCCTGACTAACACTATAATTAACAATTGAATGATATGCATATTTTACAACTAGCAAAAAAAAGGTTTCTTCGAAACGGTTTTAAATCCGCATGGTGTGGCGACCTTTCAATTGTGTTAAAGTTTTTCCGGAGCAGATACACACTTTTTCTAAATGTGTCTTTAATGAAGGCCTTGATGAGCGTTTATATTTAGCAGTGATTTCTTCGTTTTTAACGAGACTTAATTTCGGGCAGGCACGTGGGACTATGACTTTCTGTCGCCATGCCCGTAGGAATTGCGGCGTTGATTTTGCATTCTGGGTAACGCGAATTCTTCTAAGAACTTGGGTGTTTCCGCACCAATTGTTCGGATTTAGAATAAACCCACGTTTCGGGCATTCTTCTGAAATAGTTAATCTATCAGTTCATTGATTGATTGATACTACAAAGGCATCAGTACCGCAAAGCTGTCCTTTTTGAAAGCTGAAATATTTTTTTCCAATCGCACAAAAATGTTTTTCAACTACGTTTCGAGCCTTGGGATTGAAACACACTTTAGTCCCTTGGTATAAATCGAATTTTAAGATTTTTGCTAAAATTCTATTTTCAAAAAACCATGTGACCATTTCACAGCAAAATGGTCCCTCGTTATCAGTAGGAGGATACATGTCAAAGCTGTCGACACACGCAGGTATCGGTAAATTACAATAAAGAGAAATTAACGCAATTATATCCTCATTATAGGAGTTATAGGTGAATCCCGTCTAACAATACTGGGGAATCCCCAAACGCCACAGATCAATACATATGGATGATGGCAATTAAAATTCCATGCGTTCTAACTCACGCTTCAGCTGTTTGTTTAAACGAAGTGTACTTTGTTACGACTCAGGAAAGGAAGAAAGATGAAAATTGACACGCACTGTGCGGTAAAGTTGCGTTAAATTTCAACAATAAATGGAGCCGTCTATTAAATTGCTTTAAAAAGTTACGGGGACAAAATTTTTTTAACTACCTCATTGATTTTTGAAAGTAAAACCAGCATTCGTAATATGTTATTGAGAATGCTTACCGTTCAGCTTTGTTAAACCTCTTTCACTCATTGATTAATCTTTTTTTTTTGGATACTGGGTCCAGCATTTCCAATTTTTTTAAATTGAGAGTTTATTCTATATCAACACATTTAATGACCGTTATTGTCCGCGGTGCGTGCCTACAATTAACTCTAATGATGCTCTTATGAAGGACGAAATTTTCCGTGATTTTAATATCGATTTAATTACATAATTTTTCATATGAAACGTATACGTTATTTAGTAGCGCGGGCATTGCGAATGGCTACTTTGGCACGAAAAGGCTAAATCGCTTTGATACACCGTGTCCACTATGGGCATTCTCAAAACGGCAAGAGATCCAAATTTGGTTAAATGGGAGAAAAGTTGTGCAATCAAAGGTATAAGAAGATAGCGTTTAGAAATCCGTCAACAATTCTTTGGTTTTTGAAAAATTGGATTTTTCGATTTTACTATTTTTTCTGGCGTTAATATTTGACCTACAGCAAAGCCAACGACTTCTCCACTGCAATTTTTAATGCTCCTCAAGGACGAAACGTCGGATTTAAAAATGAACAACTCGACCAGACGGAAAATTTCACAGAAATTTGAAAGAAGGCAGAATCTAAACACCACCGGCGCATCGCTGAAGAAGTTATTGGCAGCACGTTCTAGAACCAGATACTTGAATATTCCCACGACGGATGGGTGTCACGTGACAATGATGGGAAAGCGGGGCGATACACAACGATTTCAACACGAACAAAGGAAAAGTATTTATTTCGTTGTAGCTTACACTGCTAGACCACTATGTCTAATATGCACACTATGACTAAATACACGCACTAAAACTGCGCCAGACTTGCTCAAGCTCAAGTGGTTTTCCATGCGCCAACCGGTGCTGCTGCTGCGTCTGGCACTGCAAAGGATTCTGTGATCGGTCCGTGCATGGAGGCCAATTTCAAAAGCAACTCGAGATCTCCTGGTGTACAAACAATAAAGGTATTTATGAACATTTGTTCAAATTTTTAGGAACAATCCGCCACTGTGGGCGTTCAAATAAAAAATAAATAAGAATGTTCTTTCTATGATTTTCAATTTTTTCTTTACTTGCTATTCTTTGGTCAAATAACCTACAAAAAACTTCTTTCTTTCTGGAAGCCGAGAGACCGTGGCGAAGAAAGTACGTTGATATCTTTTAACATAAAGATCTGAAAGTGACACAGCCAGTCGTACGGACGGGACGGCCGGAGAAAGCTGCAACAAGACGCATTTTTGTATTTATTTTTGGAAATGCGTTTGCGTTCTTTGAAATACTCCTTTGGTTTCGGTTTAAGAAAGTAGCCATATTTGTGACTATTATGAATAGAATTTCAGCTAAATGCACAAAAGTCGCAAATTTGCCAATAAGCAAAAACGCGCTCGTCTAAAATTTGACATTTTTGTATGAACTGGATCATAAAACGACCATAATTGTTTGTTTAATTTATTAACGTAAACGTTTTAACACAACGTCGTTCTTTTCCGGATATAGAATCCCGCTCTGTTGTAATTTGTTTATTATTTTTAATACATTCTTCGAACACATTTTTAATATCGTGCGAAAATACGTGGATGAAATATTTATTCGTTTTTTTTTTTGTAGACATGACGATGCCTTTATTGAATGTGGGGATGATCGAGTGTGGGGTTCTACGTGACACTCAAATAAATTAGGAACCAATTTTTATTTCATATATTTCCTAAGTTGAAAGGGGAGTTCACGGGGAAAGTAATTGCGTCTAACATTGCGTATTGTCATTGGAGATTGGAAATCAATCCCTAGGGATGTTTTCTGATTTCCGTATTGCCGGACTTGACCAACTCCTTTCCTGTTGGCGAACGTTTCGGGGACTTGTTTCTTTCGGGCGAGCGCGACGGCGACGGAGTTCCACCGTTCGCGACGTCTTTTCCTGACGTTGTTTTCAATCTGACTTTCGTGTCTAAATGGCGAAATCTAAGGGCGAGAGATTACCAATTAATATAATCGAAATTGCGTAATTGCCCTGATTGGTAATTTAGTCGGTCTACTCACCGAATTGGAACGTTGCTCCCGGCGGCGTCCTCGGCGATCCCCTGAAATAGGAACGCCAAAGGCCAACTGATCCAGGAAGCACTACTGAAAAGAAACTTGCTAATTGAGACAACTTTTTAAACGTAACTCACTGAGGAAGTTGCGAGGGGGCGCTATTCTCCGGAGAACCTGCCGTATCGGTGTAGTGCCTTCGAACTGTCGGTAGGGTTTTCGCGATGGAAGGATTGTAAATTTTGGGATCGCTCACCATTCGTACAAAGAAGGAACGTTTGTAAGCCAAAGTCTCCTTCTGTTTGCGATTCAAATCGAAAACTTCATCTTGGAGTTCCTTCAAATTAAATTGCGTTAATTAAATCTCAGTTTGCAAGTCTTTCCGACAGTTACCTGCTCTTTGTCGACGGCTTGTGCTTCGAGCAGCTCCGCTGCAAATTCAGTTATTACGTCCCAGGCGTGATCTAAAAACATTACGTAATTAGACGAATGCGATTCTGATTTTCTATGAATTTGAATGGAATCGGTAGCTTCACAAATTAAAAATTAATGCGAATTTAGATTAAGTATACGGAAGGGTCTAATGCTGTTAGACGGAAATTAAGGTGTCAAAGTTCAAGATTCAACTAATTGGGTTTATAATCTAGTAACAATTGGGCGAACTGAAACCCTTCCAATACACAATGGTTTTTTAGTACTAAAAAGGTTACCATTTACGTGCAGTTACTATAAAAGGAACTGAGATTGAAACCTACACTTTCATTCCCTGGCTAAAATTTTAATGCAGGTTTCTCTTTATTTCGCCAAATTTGCAGAGAGAGAGAGAGAGTAAAATCTCAAATTAAATTACCAATTTTGTTGGGAAAGATACTTAACTCTTCTTCGCCTTATACTTAAGAGACTAATAAAAGGACTGTAACGTTATTTTCCTACCGATTGATATTCCTGATTTAACTTCCATTTAAGTAAATTTCTTATTACAATAGTTCTTTGTTTCGCCGGTGGAGGCCGTGCAGATGTTTTTCATGGTATTTTTTACGGATATGTATTTGTATATAAACAATGCGGGATATGTTAGATTATTACGCAGCATTTTTCTTAATACGTACGTAGGGGCCTTTACCTTCCTTCTCAATTTCTCTCAACTTTACCTTCCCTCACCATTATTTCACAATTTGCTTTTAAGTTCTCATCTACTTTTTGTACCTGCATCTTTTAACACCCTATGCAGTCATTCAGTTGTGAAGGGACTGATATTTATATGATATCAAATTTGTTTAAATTTTTTAATGATTTTTTTAACTAATATAAAGTCTGGTATTGAAGGAAAAGGGGGAATTTCTTCGTGCAATAGTTGGAAATATTGCGAATCGTTACCGTATTAATACGTGAGCGAACATTGTTTCGTTTCACTGCATATTTTGGATTATTCTTGCGTTTCAGTAAATTATTACCACGAAGGCGTTGAGATCCAAGGTGCAAAACATTTCCGTTGCGCCAAATTTGTCGTGGCAAGATACGTACAAAACCTATTTATTATTAAAAGTTGTTCATCTAACTTGTTTATATGAAGTGCGATTAAAATGGCTACCGTTAAAAAGGTTAAGACAATTAACTCAAGTTTCTGTTTGCTGTTAAAACCCTAACTTACCAGGGTATATTTTTGACACTGCGGAATATCGATAATTTGTTGCTGTGAATAACTCAAAGTTCAATTCATTAAATCCAAGTGAGCCTGAAACCTGGTTTGTTCCTGAATCAAATTGCGTCAACCATCTTTCAATCTTTTCAATCTTTGGCAACTAGTAATCAATTCAACTGGCAATACAAGAGGACCGATCGTATTGCTCAAGGCGTTTTACTATCCGATATTCTGATTTGAGGTGTTATTTCATAAGGAGAAATTCAACTGAGAATTGGAGGAAATTTCAACGCATCGATAAAAGTAAGTTTTTTTAAATTTTTGTATTGTATAAAAGAGTCGCCCGCTTTTGGAGCTTTTGTATAAAAACCATTTTTGTTTAAAGCTCGAGTTACAGGAGAGTATCTCGTGAACAAATTTGTGTATTTTTTATAAATGATAAGATCTTGGTAATTTCTATTTTTTTCTCATTAATTGTACAATTAGAATTTCACGATCAGTAACGCCAATCTTTTGTGTGGGTTTTAAATTTTTTATTAAGCATCTAGGTGTATACATTTGCTTTGAATAGGAATTTGTACCCGGTGTTTGGTTCATAAAAATCCTGATATCCTAGTCCGACAACCAAGTGAACGCTTTGGTTATGCAATCAGCGAATTGGCTATGAAAAATTTGGTGGGAGAGGTGCAAAACATTTCGGTTTGCGTCAGATCTTTAGAGGCAAGTTACGTAAACAACCAAGTTATTAATCAAAGTTATATGAAGTGCGAACAAAATTATGAACAAAACGGCTACCAGTAAAAAGGTTAAAGATAATTAATTCAAACTTCTGTTTGCTATTAAAACCCTAAATTACCAGGGCACATTTGCATCGAGTAACCAAATAAAAATGTTCCATATCCCTTGAATAATTTTGTGTATTTTTTATAAATGATAACGGAACCCAAACCGAAGATCATTAATACCATTCTTTTGTGGGGGTTAAATTTGAAAATAGATCCAAAGTTATGATTACAATCGGTATGGAAAGATGAAAAAAAAAATCGAAATTGGGTTAGGTGAAAATGGCAAAAAGTTTACATTACTTACCAATATCTTCTTCCGTGGCATTTTGAGCGACCGCACAGAATCGAATTACATACTTATCATTGACATGGGCGGGAACCATATGCAATTTTCCCGATTCGTTGATATTGCTGAGAAGCTTCTCGTTGAGTTTGTCAGCACCCTTCAGGCGAAAGCACACCAAACCTAGCTGCAAAAGCTCTCATTAGTTAGTCATCTTCTTAGCTGAACTCAGCGTACCTTCACTTCGTTACAAACTTCAAATCTTCTGTCTTGAAGGACGCATCTTTCAAACCTCTGCGCCAATGCTATATGGTGCCTAATGTACTTGCGAAGGCCGCTTATACCGTAACTTCGCAGCACGAACCAGAGCTTAAGCGAACGAAATCTTCTGCTAAGGGGCACGCCCCAATGGCGATAGTCTATAGAAGAATCGGAATATCCGTGCTTAAGGTACAAGGGATCGACGACCAAGGCGGATGTCAGGCGTATCCGGTCACGGACCCACATGGTCGAACAGTCAAAGTTGACCAACAACCACTTGTTCGGATTCGTGTTGAACGAGTCCGCGTACTCCACCCCCTTCAGCAAGTACTTCAGCTCTGGACAGATGAGCGCGTTTCCCGCGTACGCCGCGTCCACGTGCAGCCACACGCACGGGAAACGCTTGCAGACCGATCCGATCTCGGGCAAATTGTCAAACGAGCAGCAGGACGTTGTGCCCAAAGTCGTCGAGACGAAGAACGGAATTAAACCGGCCGCCTCGTCCTCCTCCATCGCCTAAAACTCTTCGTTACCTCACCGTTCGAATTTCGTCCAACTTGCCTCGGACAACGTTTGTCCTCTCAGCGCAGACTTCTCATCCGGCTCCAAAATGCGCAACTTAACGAAGCATATCATTGCCGCCTTTTCTACGCACGAATGCGCTTCGCGCGAGCAGTACGCCATTAATTTGGACAGTAACACCCCTTCCTCGACGAACGGGTGTTGCTGTTTAAGTCGTTTTAACGCTTGTGCTCTTGCCGCTAGCATCGTTACCAAAACGCATTCGCTGGCGCACGTCTAACGATATTAATATTATTGGAGCTACACTGGGCTTAATTTACCTGAATGACTCCTCCGCCTCGACTTCCTTTCTTCAAGGCTAGAAATTCGTCTGGCAATCCTATAGCTTTACCTGAAATTTTTTTAGTAGTGCCTTCACATCCTTCCATTTAAACAGAGAGCAACATTCAATATCAACATTGGAAAAAATTCTAGAAAAAGAGTTCCCAAAGGTAAACAGACACAATACTAGTGGTAGTATTGGGATAGAGTTATTGATCCGCATTTAAGAACATTTAAATGGAGAAATGTCGAATTTTTAAAGAAATCAATTGGGCGAAGACATACATCTTGACATGGGGTTTCAGCAGGATGGGGCTCCACTCCATTATGCAATATTTATGCCTGTCATTGTTTACATGACATATACATGCATAACAGACGTTGAAAAATTTGTAATTAAATTAATTTTTTTTTATTGTAATATCTAGAAAAACCATAGCTCCGTAACCATGAAAGCAATTAAACAAAAAAATATTAGTACACACCTAGCAGATTCTAATTTTAAAAACAAAAGTGCATCATTTCATTTAAAATGTCAAAGTCACCCCCCCCCCTCCTTAAAATTAGGAAAAGAAAAAAATTCAAAAAATATGTTAAAATTTGTCACCCCGTATCCTTATTAATTTTACTTTTTATAAAGATCTCCACGCATATTTTTTTGCAAATGTTCTGGTTTTTTGCTCAATAAGACACATAGGCCTTTACTGGAATATGACACCACAACCACTTCTTTCATTTCGGCTTTTCAAAACAGCGGTTTTTAAACAATATGCAGGCTTTCCGTATAGTTTACTGATGAATGCAGGCAGCAGGGCGCCCGGTGAAAGGGTCGAGCTGCAACATCCGGACAACAGCAACAGGTTAGTGCCTCAGTAATTGCTTTAAGGAATTGTGTGTTTCGATCCTACGGATTTTTCCCTTTTTACTTTTTCGCGTCGGGTTTAAACTAAAGGCACAAGGGAACATTTTCTAAATGTTTTTCTTTTTTTGATTTTGTTGCCAAAAAAACTGCATTTTTCTCGAAAACTAAACTTTGTAGCGAAAAATGAACCCTACAAAAAACTCGTGAACACTTTTTGCGTGGAGTATGAAATATAACCGCCAGAGGGCGTTGTCTAAATGTTTCATTTTTTTATGTTTGTTGTTATTTTTCAATGGGATTATGAAAGTATCTCGCCCTAAAAGAATGAAGGATATAAGACCCCGCTTAGAATATAAAAACCAGGAAACCCCAGTAACCCCGAAAACTATCAGAGATTGATAAAGGACATTATTACTAAAAGTTGAAGGTTTTTGGAAGAGCTAAAACATACAGAAAAATATACAGGGTGTCGGTTTAACAAAAGTGAGATTTTTAATATGAAGTTTTGTAGCTTTGGACCTACAAAGAAAACACCATGTAAATTTATTTTTAATTGTTTCATAGTAGATGTATTCTCACCCAAGATAAAAGATATAGAACCTTGTAAATGCCAAATCTTTCTTATAAGTCGACTTGTCTTTAAAACTTCTTCGTATATTAACCGTATAATAAAAAAATCGTACAATTACACGTACAATTAAAAAATGCATTGAAATACAGGAGGTTCCATTAAAAAAATGTGCCTTTTTAGCGCCCTACATTGTGGACGCATCCTGTATAATTCAAAATACTTTTAAAATATTCAACCTCTCGCCTTGATTGAATATAAAACTTGCTTTTTGTCGCTTGTTAATAATAAAATAGTGAATATACAATTTAAGGAACGGCTGATATTAATAATAGTCATCTTTAATTTAACTCTTCGCAATTTAGCTCGTAATTCGTGCCTAAAAATTAATTTTAAATAAACTTGTAACAAATATAGTCAACGAGCTCCTGGATCACTGAAAATTTAATCAGTTCTTCCTTGGATAATGATAAGCAAGATACTGAAAACAGAATTGGAAATTTGGAAACCGTTCGGGAGTTAACTTGTCCACAGACGGACGGGTGGACAGAAAGTCCAAAATCGCTAGGAGCTCGTTAAAGGAAAAGAGGGGCTACGTCCGAATAGACCTGGCCTTCCAAAGAGGTATACGTTTAAACCGCCTATGCAAAATAATGTATTATTTGTTCAATTCCAGAGCTAAAATGAATCATTGAAAGTTCATGAAATTTGGTACAATGGTTAAGGGCGATGTATATTGAGTGAACCATGTTTAGATAATTTTAAAAATGGAAAGTTTACTCAAAAAGTGACTTTGTAATTTATGAAATCGTAAATAATAAATAAGTGTAAAACAAAAATTGAAAATAGCGATTTTCACACATACTGACATAGAATTGCATTCATTTTGTAGTAGGTATATAAACAATAAATCCCACGGATATCTGAATGCTTTTATTATGTATATTGCAATAAATAAATAGACACGAATTTTGAATATAATGATAAACACCTACCTAGAACCATATATCTACAGGGTGTAGAATTGGTTTATGTACCATAGGGATTTCAATGGTAATTTCTTTCTATTGAAATATTTTCTCCCCTAATTATTTTACACCAAGGTTGTAAATAAATTGTTTGTAGATTGTAAAATTCTGCGTCTATTCCATTTGTAATTTTTTGCTATGGGAAACCGGAGAAATTAAGAAAATTACAGATTATAATTATAAATCTAATTTTTGTTCCAATAATTTCACGGCACGAGTGATTTAGCAAAAATCTTTACGCCGAAAACGAATGAAAAAATTTATAAAAAGAATGGCAACATCTAATGCTTCCTAAATTAACTGAATTTTATAAAAAAAAAGGTTCTTCCTAAATTACGAGTCCCCAGTGCAAGGATGAGTAGGGACCTACGTTGAAAAAAATGAATTAAAATGCAATTTATGTTATTAATTATTTTGTTAACATTGTATCCCAATACATTATTTATTATTATGGAGATAACATAAACATCACATCACAGCATTGTAATAGTTATTAATGCAATAGTGGTAATTAATTGTACTTTGTCTACTATCACTTTCTTTAGAAAATTAGGTAAAATTTTGGGCTGCGGCCGAATACCAAAAAGATGATAGGAAAGTAGGGCTAGATCCAGTAGGGTGTCAGCAAGTATAGTGAACAGATAGTATCTAAAAAAATAAACGTATGTCGATACTTGCCCCATAGGCAAAACTTCTTATTTTCAACTACGTAAGATATCATATAATAGAACAAAGAATACTAGGAACATTTATTATTTTTTATCAATTGAATAGTATATTATTTTTAACCGATTTTCCCCCACTTAATTTAAAATGGGTGTAGATCGTCTAAAAATATCTTTTATTCATTTTTCGGCGATGAACGATGTCACATGATCGACTAAACAATAATTACTTATAAAATTAATTAAAAAATTAACTAAGTCTACTTAATTAAAATTTAAAAATAATTACTTTTACCTGTAGGTATTCTTGTTCAGTTATATGAATTTATGAATAATTTAATGAAATTCTGCGGGCCTGAATTTTCAAATGACATTTTAAGCTACATTCAAAACTGGAAGACTTTGTCCATTGCCACAATCTTCAATAATTATAAATTTGCCCATGCAGTCCCACTTCATTTGCAACCTTTTTTAACGCTATTTAATTGAGATTTTTTAATAAAAATGGCAATGCAAAAATTTGAAAATGCACAATTTTTCGTTACAACTCGAAAACCGTACAAAGGAAAAGTCAAGAAAGTAAATTAGTATCGAGCATATTCTATTATTTATGTCTTCGCGAGATTTTTTTGGAAGATATCTTGAAATTAAACAAATTTTATCAATTTTTTACAATTGCGCGGTTTGGAATTTCCTTTTTGGCAAGATATCGCACTTATTTTTTAAACGCATGCGGAAACTTATTGGAAAATTTATCGGAGGTATCTATTATTAAAAACCTTAACAAAGAATGGCACAAATTGACGCTTTTTTTAAAAACATTCTTTTGAGCGCATTTTGTAAGAATTAAAAAATGTGCTGTTGTTTGTGTTTTGTCCATCCGTCCGTCTCTCTGTCCGTCCGGACCCACTTTTTCCGTTTTCAACGGTTCAACGGTTTTTGTGTTATCTTTCATGGTATTCTAATTAAAGGTCTCAACGAAAGGAATTAATTGGGACTGCTGGAAGAAATGTATTCATTGGTGATGGCAAAACTTTAAGAGGGGATATCTCGAAAACGATTTGTCAGAGGGGAATACTCACAAAGGCAAAATGAATCCTCTGAACGAGACATGTCAATTGGTGAAGTCGAAACACATATACTGGTGATGTCAAAAGTTTCAGTGTAAATATCCGCAGAACAGAGTGTCGGAGGAGTGTACTCTCAAGGAGCGATGCGAAAGCTTAATTATGAATATCTCAAAAATGGTGGAGGAGGGCACCTACAAAGGGAAAATGCAATATTTCTGACCATTCCTCTAAGGTCTTGATTCTTCTTGCATTATATAGCGTTGATTTTGAATGTATGCCCGGTGGCCTTTAAATGTTTAGGTGTAAAGATCTCCATAATCTACCAATAAGATATAACCCAACGATTTACTAAGGCACTTCTGTTTAAAAAAATTCGCTTTTAATTGTGTAAAGAAGTGGAATGCTGAGATCTCAAGCTAACAAACGAAGACGAATAAACGCAAAAGAAATATTTCTTCAAAATAAAACAAATTATGTAGAATTTTCAAAACGTTAAATTAAAAATTCTGTTTAGTTCATCTGTAATATAAAGCTCATCCAATTCTTGTGTTCGGTGGAATTTTTTAATTTTGAGATCATTGCAAATATAGTCTTTCGATTTAATTCTTCACTAAGCGGTGGAAATTATGGTCCAGCGTCGCCGGTATCATTCCGAAACCGTGTTTCATGTTTTTGGGGTGAGTGTGGTAAAAATGCAAATGGACTCGTGCAATGTAGAGAGAAAGGACAGAGAATTAGTTCGTACTTACCAAGCCAATCGACCACAATCGTCTCTAATTCTGTACAAACAGGACTTGCGGCCTGGAAACGTTCACGAAATTGTAAAAGCAACAAAGCTCAGTTACGGATTACCCATGAAAATCCTATACACCCGATTCCAGCGGAAAGCATGTCTCCCAAAATGGACGGATACGAATTTCCCGACGGGAAATACGCATGAAAACGTGGATGCTGCCAGTGGGTGACGCCGGGCATAATTTTCGCATCGACATCAGCCATAATCGCCTCCCAATCCTCGGGATATTCGGGAGCCTCGTCCGGCAATATCTTTCGAAGGTACCCGGGCTCGACGTTTGGTGTAACTCGTCGCGTCGGAATGTTCTCCATATAATTGCAAATATATTCGACCATCTCTTTTCCCCTGCATCGAAACTCGTCGGAATCCATCTAGTTCTGCAAAATTAATTCTTTGTTTTTATAAAATTCGATCATAACTTATGAATGGGATCCCTTTTTGTGTTCCGAGTTCCCTGTACGTGACACCCTTTCAATGGAAAGCGTGCGTTTATGATGAAGATCGGCGAAATTGCTTTCGGATGTACTTAATTGAATTTTTAGATTGATATTTAAAAAATCGCCAAAATTAATCGGAATTATCCGGATAACTAGAGAAAAACTAACTTACCTGTTGCTTTAGCGGATTCTGCACGGAAACTCCAACGAGACACTAAGGACGAGACGAGCCACCGTTTAACTTGAGGCCGTGCGCCCTATTTGCTTGATTTCATTGCATTTTCGCACCCCCTCCACCAAAGCTTTATTGCTTGCTTTCTATTTTTACATTATTAGAAATATTTTGTGATACAAACATGACTTGGTACCGCAAAAAATATTTCATTAAAGACATTCCCTTCTAAGTATAGGGTGCAAGTTAATATTTTAATACCAATAATTAATGCATTTAAGATACTCGACGCTATTTATAATTAATCGATGCTTAACTTATGATGCCTCCATTAGGTTTCTTATTTTTTAGTATTAAGGTTTCTTTTTTAATTGAACAGCGAATATTATTCGTAACGTTTAACCTTTTTCTCTAAATTAAAAACAATGATTGAGCTTTTGTAGCTTCGATCTATTTTTACATTCGCACTGAGTCAATTAGGGGTGAATGTGGTAGTAGTAGATTTTTTTCATTCATGAGTTCCCCTCCTTTACCTGTACATAGACGTACCTAATCCGCTTATGATGTAAAGAATTTCGATTTACTTATAAACTGGTAGCTTTTCATTTTTGAGTATATAGGACATAGGTATACGTGAAAACTAATCACACGTAAGCTTCTGATGATGACATATTTCATCCCAACTGAGAATGATGCAATTTATTCTTCAATTTGCCATTACCCACTACGCCTACACGGTAGGTTCTTAATTTTGCTCGATTTTTGTACATAGCACCCACTCGTTTAGCACTTATAAGAGTTAGCTTCTTCAGTATTTAATGGTAAAGCTCTTGGATTGTAATTGGAGATGGCATCGGAAACATTCCCTGAAATGAGACGTGGTAGTGAACAGACTGTTGGTGGATGTGGTGTCGAGCTTTAGATGTACTTAAGAGGATTTGCGAAAAATTGTACTTTTTGTACTTGTTTGTGTGGCAGATAATTATTCTATTAGCCAGATTTGAGGTAAGGTCTCTAAAAATGTGCCTAAGTCTATTTTTAAGAGAATGTTCTACGGTTTTCAGCTTAATTGTCAAGAAGATTGTGCAAGGAGCAATAGGAACAGAGGTAGAACCATCAATTCAAAGAGTATGTAACACTTACTTTGACTTTAAAACTTAGGAAGGACAAGGGTTGTCGCAGATCGACCAGAAAACGACTATTTCTAATAAATTTTGAGCTGTGGAATCCAAAAAAATTAGAGCCATCAAGATCTGACCACGAGAAACAGAGGTAGAGCCCTCAATTCGTAGAGTATGTAACACTACTAACTTACTTTCGCTTTAAAAGTGAGCAAGAATAAGGGTTGTCGCTGGTCGACCAGAAAAAGACGATTTCTAATAAATTTATGGACCTGTGGAATCCAAAAAATTTAGAGCCATCAAGATCTGACCACGAGAAACAAAGGTAGACCCCTCAATTCTTAGAGTATGTAACACTACTACCTCACTTTCGCTTTAAAAGTGAGCAAGAATAAGGGTTGTCGCAGATCGACCAGAAAAAAACGATTTCTAATAAATTTTGACCTGTGGAATCCAAAAAAATTAGAGCCATCAAGATCAGACCACGAGAAACAGAGATAGAGCCCTCAATTCGTAGAGTATGTAACACTACTAACTTACTTTCGCTTTAAAAGTGAGCAAGGATAAGGGTTGTCGCAGATCGACCAGAAAAAGACGATTTCTAATAAATGTTGACCTGTGGAATCCAAAAAATTTAGAGCCATCAAGAAGTGACGACGAGAAACAGAGGTACAGCCTTCAATTCGTAGAGTATGTAACACTACTAACTTACTTTCGCTGTATAAGTGAGAAAGGATAAAGGTTGTTGTAGATCGACCAGAAAAAAACGATTTCTAATAAATTTGGACCTGTGGAATCCAAAAAATTTAGAGCCATCAAGATCTGACCACAAGAAACAGAGGTAGAGCCCTCAAGTCGTAGAGTATGTAACACTACTAACTTACTTTCGCTTTAAAAGTGAGCAAGAATAAGGGTTGTCGCAGATCGACCAGAAAAAGACGATTTCTAATAAATGTTGACCTGTGGAATCCAAAAAATTTAGAGCCATCAAGAAGTGACGACGAGAAACAGAGGTACAGCCTTCAATTCGTAGAGTATGTAACACTACTAACTTACTTTCGCTGTATAAGTGAGAAAGGATAAAGGTTGTTGTAGATCGACCAGAAAAAAACGATTTCTAATAAATTTGGACCTGTGGAATCCAAAAAATTTAGAGCCATCAAGATCTGACCACAAGAAACAGAGGTAGAGCCCTCAAGTCGTAGAGTATGTAACACTACTAACTTACTTTCGCTTTAAAAGTGAGCAAGAATAAGGGTTGTCGCAGATCGACCAGAAAAATACGATTTCTAATAAATTTGGACCTGTGGAATCCAAAAAAATTAGAGCCATCAAGATCTGACTACGAGAAACAGAGGTAGAGCCCTCAATTCGTAGAGTATGTAACACTACTAACTTACTTTCGCTTTAAAAGTGAGCAAGAATAAGGGTTGTCGTAGATCGACCAGACAAAAACGATTGCTAATAAATTTTGACCTGTGGAATCCAAAAAATTTAGAGCCATTAAGATCTGACGACGAGAAACAGAGGTACAGCCTTCAATTCGTAGAGTGTGTAACACTACTAACTTACTTTCGGTTTAAAAGTGAGCAAGAATAAGGGTTGTCGTAGATCGACCAGAAAAAAACGATTGCTAATAAATTTTGACGTGTGGAATCCAAAAAAATTAGAGCCTTCAAGATCTGACCACGAGAAACAGAGGTAGAGCCCTCAATTCGTAGAGTATGTAACACTACTAACTTACTTTCGAAGTGAGCAAGAATAAGGGTTGTTGCAGATCGACCAGAAAAAGACGATTTCCAATAAATTTTGACCTGTAGAATCTAAAAACTTTAGAGCCATCAAGATCTGACCACAAGAAACAGAGGTTGAGCCCTCAATTCGTAGAGTATGTAACACTACTAACTTACTTTCGCTTTAAAAGTGAGCAAGTATAAGGGTTGTCGCAGATCGACCAGAAAAAGACGATTTCTAATAAATTTGGAGCTGTGGAATCCAAAAAAATTAGAGCCATCAAGATCCGACCACCAGAAATAGAGGTAGAGCCCTCAATTCGTAGAGTATGTAACAGTACTAACTTACTTTCGCTTTAAAAGTGAGCAAGGATAAGGGTTGTCGCAGATCGACCACTAAAACACGGTTTCTAATAAATTTTGACCTGTGGAATCCAAAAAAATTAGAGCCATCAAGATCTGACCACCAGAAACAGAGGTAGAGCCCTCAATTCGTAGAGTATGTAACACTACTAACTTACTTTCGCTTTAAAAGTGAGCAAGAATAAGGGTTGTCGCAGATCGACCAGAAAAAGACTCTTTGAATTTAAACTTAAGAAATTGAAAGAGCGTCTTTTAGAGGGGTTTATGCAAAAATCGCTACAATTGGTACATTGAAACGGGGTAGCTTTTCACTTAATCGTAGAGATACGAAATGCGACACGAACCAATGCTGATGTGAAAAGCTCACCGAAAGTCGGGTAGTTTTAAACATTTACGCGGAGAAATATTCAATAATAAATACAGTTCTTGTAATTCTGATTTATCCCGGAATGGTTCGTTAAGGGTTGAAGTTTTATGGATGCTACCACTGCGATGATCACGAGGAAAGCGTTTTTTGATGGATTATGTGTTTGTCATTACATTATACGCTTTCAAAGCGAATTAATCTCTGTCGCTACCTTTGTTTCACAAAATTACCAGTAGAACTCTAAGAGAGTCGATTTGCTCAAATTATTGAAAAGCGACCTCGGTGATTTATTCATAAGAATTTTTCGCTTGCATTGCGACCGATTTTTCGCACCATTGAAAAGTTTTCACCATTAGAAATCAATTAGATTGGATAAAGATCATTTATAAATAAATAATGCAAAACAGAGTGGAGCGAAGTTTCGCGCTGAATTCCATTTTGCGTGGAAACGCGAAATGAGGGGGCTGCATTCCTTCGTATTCATTCTTCGGGATCTTGAGTGGGCTAGTGGGCGACCTCAATATTCTGCCTTCGACGTTCTCTTAAATTAAACCCTCTCTATCCTAACATTTTATTACAAAGTCTAACTCAAAATTTCCCCTTTTGCATCGTAATTATATTGAACGATCACGTTAGTTACTTTCAGCTGCGATGATTAATATTTTATCGTCTTTCGAATTTTAAGCACGTTTCCGTTATGTTGCAGGCATAACGATGGACAATTACAGAAAGGGGAAGAATGTAGAGGAGCCCTTGGAAAAGAATAGGCTTCCCATTCCAAATTTAACGAGCGAATTCGTGTGGATGCAGGTTTAGACCTTATTTCGCCATTGGGTATGACATTCCTTTTGTTGGTAGGTGAGAGGGGGTAGTAAAATGAGGGACTTACTCAGCTACGCCTTTAAAGAATTCGAAACGGCAAATTCCATTGTCTGGACCGGATTTGGTCCTTCAGTTGGAAAGGCTGTCAGCTGTGCAGAAATCATGAAACGCGAATACAGCTCAGAATTGCATCAGATAACCAAAATATGTTACAGAATGTAAGTACGCCAGCTTCACCACGCTTCGCTTACATTATTTTAGGGTTCAAGAGTATTGGGACCCCAAGATTCCCGAGCTGGAACAAATCGTGGTCGAGAGAAAATTGCCGATGATTCACATTTTGTTATCTAAGGAACCGTTGAATTCGCAGGAGTTGGGGTTTGTTTCTATTTCTTGTGCACTTGAATCGGGAAACACTCGTTGTTTCAGGTACCAGGGTCCTGGAGTGAAAATTTCATTGGACGATGTCGACGAGGTGACGGAAAAACGGAAGTATCTACAGTCACGCACGCCCACAAAAGAATTTGCAGCTTTGGGGGTTGGGTCGATGAATCGACCCAAAAAGTGGAGTAAATCTAATAAAAAATTTGATAAGGGTCAAAGTAGTACTTCGAACATGTAAGAGATCTGTATTTGTAAATAACACAATCGAATTGTTTGTTTAATTTATTTCCTGTGTGGTAAATAGGGGTGTTTAAGTTAAGGCTCAAATAGGAAACTTGGAATTTTAAAAGACGAAATAATTTTTGAGAGTTCAAAAAGGTTAAATTTGATACAAGGAAGCTAAAGGGTTGTCGTCGACGTACTTATTCTTCGATTTTAAAGGGCGAAAAAAGTTAAAAAATTTGATGAAAAATAACCATTGGGTTGTTGGGGCATACGTATTAGTTGATATTGTTAAGTGAAGAATGGGGATTTTAAAATGTGGAAGAAATTGTAGCGGTTTCCGAGGGGTTAAATTTGATGAAAATGACCATAGGGTAGTTGTGACAAACTAATTCGTGACCGAAGTGGAGAAATGGGGATTTTAATATGTAGACAAAATTGTGGCAGGTTTTGAAGGATTAAATTTGATAAAAATGACCAGATAGGGTTGTCGCGGACACACGTTTTCCTGATATCGGTGGCTGAAGAAGTGGAGAAATCGGAATTTTAAAGGGGGAAAATAATTGTTAAGAATCTGAAGGAAAATAATCTGATGAAAATCACTTAGAGGGTTGTTGCAACATACCTATGCTTGATATTGATTATTTATTGATGACAGGAGAAGTGGAGAAAGGCAACTTTAAAATGGGGAAAACAATTATCGCGGATTCCATAGGCTTAAATTTGATGAAAAACACCATAGGGTTGTTAGGACACACTTATTCTTGATATTGGGGTCAGAAAAAGTGGAGAAAAAGGAAGTTTTAAAGAAGGAAAATAAATGTTGCAGCTTTAAAGGGTTAAATTTGAGAAAAACGACCGTTGGGTTGTTGAGACATACGCATTCTTGACTTGTTGGCTGAAGAAGTGGGGAAAGAGGAGTATAAAATGTGGAAAAAATTGTTGCGGGTAGCTAGGGATTAAATTTGATCAAAATGACAAAATAGGGCTGTTGCGACCTACATATTCTTGATATTGACGGCTGAACAAGTAGGGAAATGTGAATTCTAAAGGGAGAAAATAATTGTTGGGAGTCCGAAGGGATACATTTGATGAAAATGACTTAGAGCCTAGAGGGTTGTTGTGACAAACCTATTCTTGATATTGGTGACAGGAGAAGTAGAGATGAGAACTTTTTAAAGGGGGAAAATAATTCTCACGGATTCCGTACGATTAAATTTGATGAAAAGTGACCATTTTGGGTTGTTAGGACATACGTATTCTTGATACTGGTGGGTGAAGCGGAGAAAGGGGATTTTAAGATGTGGAAGAAATTGTTGCTTTAAAGGAGGAAAAAATTATCGCGGGTTCCGTAGGGTTAAATTTAATAAAGAATGACCGTAGGGTAGTTGTGACAAAGTCATCCTTGATACTGATGGTGACCGAAGTGGGGGAAATGTAGAAAAATTGTTGCAGGTTTTGAAGGGGTTGTTGTGACGTACGTATTCCTGATATTGGTGGCTGAAGAAGTGGAGAAATCGGAATTTGAAAGGGAGAAAATAATTATTGTTGAGAGACTCCTAAGGAATATATTTTATGAAACTCACTTAGAGATGGTTGTTGTGACATACCTATTCTTCACATTGATGGCAGGAGAAGTGGAGAAATGGAAATTTTAAAAGGGGAATATAATTATCGCGGGTTCCGTAGGGTTAATTTTGATGAAAAATGACCATGGGGTTGTTGTTAGTTGTTACATAACTTATTCTTGATATTACTAGGTGAAGAAATGGAGAAAAGGGACTTTAGAATGTGGAAAAAAATTTTGCGGGTTCCGATAGGGGTTAAATTTGATGAAAATGAGCAGTTAGGGTTTTTGCGACATACGTATTCCTGATATTTGGTGGCTGAAGAAGTGGAGAAATCGGAATTTTAAAGAAAGAAAATAATTGTTGAGAGTCCGAAGGGATAAATTTGATGAAAACGACCTGGAGGGTAGTTGCGACACAAGTAGGTACCTATTCATGGTATAGACGAGAAGTGAATAAATGGGTATTTTAAAGGGAGAAAATAATTGCGGCGAGTTTCGCAAAAAATGACCAACAGAGGTGTTGTGCCATACTTATTCTGGATATTGTTGGGCAAAGAAGTGGATGCAAGGGATTTTAAATGTGGAAAAGATTGTTGGGGGTTAAATGTGATGAAAATGATCAGATAGAGGGTTGTTGCAACATTTTTATTTTTGATATTGCTGACAGAAGAGGAAATGTGAATTCTAAAGGGGAAAATGCTAGGGAAAATGATTTTATTGGGAGTCTGAAGAGATACATTTAATAAAAATGATTTAGAGGAGAGGGTTGTAGATTGGGGACAGAACAAGCGGAGAAATGAGTTTAAGATAACTATCGCGTATTCCGTAGGGTTAAATTTTGACAAAAAATGGCCAGTTGTGGGGAAATGTGAATTCTAAAGGGGGAAAATAATTGTTGGGAGTCTGAAGACAGAAACTTGATGAAAATTACTTAGAGGGTTGTTGCGCTTGTGACATACCAATTTGTGATATTGGTGGCTGAAGAAGTGGGAAAATGTGAATTTTAAAGGGGTAAAATATTTATCGCGGGTTCGGTATCGTTAAATTTGATAACAATTGTTCATTGGGCACCTACTTATTTTTGAGTGAAAATCATTTAATAATTAAGCAAGAATCGCTTACGATTTTCAGTAGGGGAATTTTTTGACCCTCGAATTAGACGGGCAGACGGACAGACAAAACTATCACACAAAAGGGGGCTTTTTTCTTTCGAACAACTCGCTCCTAAAAACTCAAAACCTTCCCCATACTTCATCATATTTGAGATTGGATGGGAAGTTGATGAAACTCTCTTCATTATTAACCTTCTGCCTTCTGTTTCTCGATTTTCTCTCTCTGTTGCTGCTCTTAGGTGGGCGAGATGAGGGTGTATTTCTTTACTTGTGAATTTTAGGAAGACAGTACAACCTTGGCGGTTTGGAGTCGCTAGGGATGAGGGCGTGGGAACGCTGACGACCTGAGAGCAACAGAGATTTCTCGTTCGATTTTGGACGTGAGATTCCCAGTAATGGCAACGTAGGTATCCTCTTGGACCTTATATCGACATACTGGGGCTCATTTTTTATTGATATTTTTGTTTCTTGATCTAATGAAGCCCATTACAGAAGTGGGCGAAACGTTGCCTTTTCGTTCAACTTCGGCACACTCTTATTTCGAAAGTCTGTCGCATATTAGAATCGAACGAATACAACAAACTGTATACATATTACAGGATTTTCCAAGGTACGAATATTGGGAAACATCCTATATAGGTTCCATTTTATACACGTGTCGCCACCTATGAACGTCTATTTTAATGTCAAGGTCACAAACGTCAAACGCGATAGTTTGGTAAAGATGAAGATGGCTGACGGACCCGTTATTTTAAGAAGAAATAGACCGGGAACCAAAGCAAAAGTAGGTGTTTTATTTAATCAGAAACCTCCGCTAGACCATCCCCTATCAGTTAAACTTATAACGCACCCCCTAACCTTCACCACAAATGAAGTGTACATAAGGTCATGTCTCACTTTTTTTTCAAATTAGGACTTCTGTCGATGGCCTGATGAAGCTTTCGAGGAGATGGACAGCACTTTGGCTGTCCAACAATACATTCAACAGTTAATAAGAAGGGATCCTGCCAATATTGATCTTATATTGAAAATGCCCGATGCACAGGACGAAGGCGTATGGAAATATGAACACTTAAGGTAGGTGCGGTGAGTTGTTCCACCACGTTTAACACGACAAACCGTAGGCAGTTCTGCATGGAGTTGAACGGATTAGCCGTACGCTTACAGAATGAGTGCCATCCGGAGACGTGTATACAAATGACCGCCACCGAGCAGTGGATATTTCTATGTGCTGCCCATAAAACGCCTAAAGAGTGCCCCGCAATTGACTACACGAGGCACACTCTCGACGGTGCAGCGTGCTTACTTAATAGTAATAAATATTTCCCTAGCAGGTTTGTGCGTCCACTTACAAAACCTCACACCTTATATATTTCGTTTTCAGAGTCAGTATTAAAGAATCTTCGGTCGCGAAATTGGGTTCAGTGTGTAGGCGTGTTTACCGAATTTTCTCACACGCCTACTTCCATCACAGAAGCATATTCGACGAATTCGAAAACGAAACATATCTCTGTAGGCGATTCACTCAATTTGTAACTAAGTATAATCTCATGTCGAAAGACAATCTTATCGTTCCAATTTGGGAGGAGGAGAACGCCCCCGGCGAATCGGAGGCATAAAGTTATCGTATATATAATTTATTTAAAGAGAACTATGATATTTTTCACATTTTTTTTTAAAGGAAATTTTTGTGTGTCCTAGAAGTATCGATTCAAATGACAAATAAGGATAATGCATGTTTATTTCAGTCCGTTTTTAATACGTAGGAAAATGAGACCTGTATAGTAATAGTTAGGCGCAGGATGTCATTAATAAGTTGCAATAAAGTGTCGCAAATTTTAGGATTGATTAAAGTAGATTGCACGAGTGGATTAAAATAACATTCCTAGGTTCTGTTTCAATTGTATTACTTTTATTCTTAATTGGTATTTATGATGTACTGGCTGTTGCAGAATGAATATAGGGGTCTTAAAGCGATGTAGTTTTTATTGAGCTGCTCTGAAAAAATTGTTTTCTAGACATTTAAAAGTTTGGCGAGTTTTTTGGTGCTGTTGATGGTCGGTGTTTTGGTATTGTACCAGTTGTATTGCTGTTTTTTGTTATTCTTTTTATGGGAAGTAGTGTTTATTTTTGGGTACTTGGCATCATTATTAATAAGATGTATATTTAATGGTGGCCCTAAAAGAGGAACCTTCCAATGTGGCCTTTTAGGAGCTGAAACGCGACAGTAGAGCTATAGGAGTTGCATATCATCAGGCGCAATTCTTTCCACCATTCGTTTATTTTGGTCTTTCAACCAGTAACATGAAACGCCTTTGGGCACAGGTTGATACCATTTGTCTCCTGCTGCTTCATCAATGGAATCATTATGAGGAGTAGCTGAATGCCCCCTCAATCTCCATGAAGCAGACTAAAGTCGATTCTTTTCAGCCTATGATTAAAACCAGTTAGGATGGGGAACAGTCCTTGTGTCTATGAGTAGAGTTGAGATGGCCTAGCAAACGCAATAACATGGGGCCACTCCCCGCCGCCCTTCTGGTTATACACCACAATAATGAGGCCTATCTTGCATGATAAGCCCTTTAAAGTGATGATCGGAGACAAGGAGAACAGTTTAGAATATGCTACAGTACCCCAGCAGATCAGAGAGTTGCAACCGGAGAGTATTCTAACATTTTTTAATAAACTGCCTTGCAAAATTGATCCAAGGGTCAATGTGCCAAGGGGTGAATTAGCCCAACCCAAGGCGGAAAAAAAGTTGTGAATCAGATAAAATTGCTAAACTCTGGAAGACATCTTGTATATGCAGGAATGCAATTCATACATCAAAGTTTTTATTCGAAATTTTAATTACCAATCTACATATTTTCTATTTCACATTGAATCTAAACATTCTGAAGACGCCTATATTAAAGGACTAGATGAGTTAGCCATTAAATTTTCCAAAAGTTCCGCGCGTAAACAGAATTCCATCTTTAATACGCAAGATTGGCAACACGAAACAATAGTGACCGGTTAAATTTGTTGGAAGTTATGTATAAATCTACGCACTGCATAAATGTAACAAAATATAGCAAAAATAGATAACAAAAGTACGTTTTTTAAATTTAGTGCCAAAATAGTATCGTTCGACATCTAACGTTGGTATAATTAACTGTTGATGGCGCGCTAAGTGTAGGAAACTAAATAATTCTAGTGTGTTAGTTGAAAATTGATTTCCCAGAGTCCGCCACTATTTTCGAAAGCATAGTCCTAGTTTATTAGACCAACGTTAGATGTCACAAGGATACTGTTTTGGCAGAATTTTTAATTTTAAAAAAACGTATTGGTGTTATCTCTATATTTTGTTTAATTTATGCATTCCTTATATTTGTACATAACTTGCGACAAATACAACGTGTTACCAGCGTTTCGTTTGTCAATTTTGCATATTAAAAAATGATTTCTGTTTTCGCACGTAATCTACGAAAAATGCAAGGCGTAATTCATATAGCCCTATAATATAAGCGTTTTCAGAGTTTTAAGTAGCATATTAGATTCAATTAAATATCGTACATAGTGTTAATCGCTTAAAGCATATCTTTGTTTTAGTCCATGGGCAGATTCCCATATGGCCATACACGTTTCCACTCTCTTCTGAACTGGCTTGCTATCACTCCTCCAGCTAGACTTGCTGGTGGCCCACAGTAGGGTTCCGGTTCTTTTGTGTGTGTAGGTGGAAATCTTGGACACAAAGTGCCTTAGATCTATCGGCGCAAGATGTGGGATTTTCCTTCCGATCCAGGTTGGCATACCCACCAAAACCACCCCTTGGCCTAGCATATTTACTGGTAGGTGCGCGTATCATCCTCCTAATTTTCTTTCGTCCAGTCCTTTCGCTTTTATTACACCTTCTTGTTATTAAACTCTCCCCTATTTTTCCCCATGGCTTCTTCTCGCTGTCTTGCCTGGTCCACTTTACACTTACCACATTCAAGAAAGTATGTTCTACGTCGTCATATGTTGCAATACAAACATTTCGGGCCGCCCCTTTTACCATGTACACTCAACTCTGTCCACTGTTCCTTCATTTTTAGCGCATTTCCATAAAAATAAAAAATGCGCTTTTGTGGTCACTTTGTCCATTCGGTCGCTGCAGTTGTTACTACTTTTGCTACTTCCCACTATTTGGTTCGTTATGGTGTCAAGGGTTGTGGGTTTATTATTAAAAAAGTTATAGCATTGTTTAGTATTTAAACAATGGTTATAGTAAAAAATAAATTTTTTCATGTACACTGCCTTTTTTTGAGGCCCGAAAAAAAATTGTCTCAGATCGACCCGGAAAAAAAATTTTCTTATAGAATGTGGCCTGTAGAATCCATAATTTCAAACAGTTCCAAGATTGAGCTACTAGTTCAAAAGTTACAGCCCTTTGAATTTTCTTTCGAAATTGGTTTCTAGTCTATAACATTTGATTGAGAAGTCTGATCGAAAAAGTACGAATTGTTTTGGATTCTACGCACCAAAATTAATAAGAAAAAGTGTTTTCCCGAGAAATTTTGGTGCAGTCGATTTTTGGTAAAAAAGGAAGGTTATACACTGCCTTTTTTTGAGGCCCGAAGAAAAAATTGTCTCCAGATCGACCCGGAAAAAAATTTTCTTATAGAATGTGGCCTGTAGAATCCATAATTTCAAACAGTTCCAAGATTGGGCTACTAGTTCAAAAGTTACAGCCCTTTGAATTTTCTTTCGAAATTGGTTTCTAGTCTATAACTTTTGATTGAGAAGTCTGATCGAAAAAGTACGAATTGTTTTGGATTCTACGCACCAAAATTAATAAGAAAAAGTGTTTTCCCGAGAAATTTTGGTGTAGTCGATTTTTGGTAAAAAAGGAAGGTTATACACTGCCTTTTTTTGAGCCCCGAAAAAAAAATTGTCTCAGATCGACCCGGAAAAAAATTTTCTTATAGAATGTGGCCTGTAGAATCCATAATTTCAAACAGTTCCAAGATTGGGCTACTAGTTCAAAAGTTACAGCCCTTTGAATTTTCTTTCGAAATTGGTTTCTAGTCTATAACTTTTGATTGAGAAGTCTAATGTTTTCCCGAGAAATTTTGGTGCAGTCGATTTTTGGTAAAAACGGAAGGTTGTACACTGCCTTTTTTTGAGGCTCGAAGAAAAAATTGTCTCAGATCGACCCGGAAAAAAATTTTCTTATAGAATGTGGCCTGTAGAATCCATAATTTCAAACAGTTCCAAGATTGGGCTACTAGTTCAAAAGTTACAGCCCTTTGAATTTTCTTTCGAAATTGGTTTCTAGTCTATAACTTTTGATTGAGAAGTCTGATCGAAAAAGTACGAATTGTTTTGGATTCTACGCACCAAAATTAATAAGAAAAAGTGTTTTCCCGAGAAATTTTGGTGTAGTCGATTTTTGGTAAAAAAGGAAGGTTATACACTGCCTTTTTTTGAGGCCCGAAAAAAAAATTGTCTCAGATCGACCCGGAAAAAAAATTTTCTTATAGAATGTGGCCTGTAGAATCCATAATTTCAAACAGTTCCAAGATTGTGCTACTAGTTCAAAAGTTACAGCCCTTTGAATTTTCTTTCGAAATTGGTTTCTAGTCTATAACTTTTGATTGAGAAGTCTGATCGAAAAAGT